TGGATAATTATTAAATTATATCTCAAGTTTGAACTCGTATGTGAGACCCAACCCGATTAAAGGAAGTGGGTTCTTTTTTTTTTTTTTTGAAAGAGAAAGAAATAAAAGGATGAAAGGGAAGTCCTCTGCCACTACAAGACTAAGAAGGAGGCCCACGGTTGCTATAATATATATTTATATATGAAACTTGGGCTCCTAGAGTTTTAAGAAGAAAAGAGAACAAAGTTGGCTCTAGCCCTAGGTCATTCTTTTCCTCTAAGTGTGGCCGCCGGTGGGTTGTTGAATGAAGCTGCACGCACAATAAAGGGATTGAAGAACGGCCGCACAATGAAGTTCTCAAAACTGTGAGCTGTATTTCTTTTGCTCGTGGGGCCTCGGCAAAGCATAAATACCCGATACTATGTGCCGTGAGTTTTACATCCAAAATTAGTTGTTTATTTGTAAATGTTCGTAAAATTCTGCACGTGTCAACGAACGTGTTGAACAAGTAATATAATGATGAGAAGAGTATCGTCCCACAGAGATTGATGATAATAAACCAATTAAATATTAAAAATGGACTGATTCTAAAATTTATCTAACTGATCAAAATATAATTGAGAACAAATAAAAATTGACAATTTTTAAAAACGAAATTTTATAAACTAAAGGCAGATAATCAATCAGGTAAAATATGTTAGAGCATCCGATTTCACCATAACCACTAGATATGAATTTCGGATCATTATGCATACAAGAACAATATCAAACATGTGATAGCGGAATTTCCTAGTCTATTTACTATCCTATCTCTAAGTATAGCAAACCTACTCAGTTTATCAATTCACTATATTTCTATGTGAATTTAAATAAACATAAGCGCATTAAAATCTGTGAATATTCCCTGTTTACAATGAATCTTTTGGACCACCTTATCACCGAAAGCTACACAAATAACATGGTATATTTCTATCCATATTTAATTCATAGTTATATATTATAAGGAGCAATTGCATATTATTACTTCTCAGTCTCAAACATGCACATCGGATCATTCAAGTGGTGGCCAATCACCTAAACGCATTAAGCACAATAATATATAACTCACATGAATGAAATTACTTACAAAGCATAAAAAGCATGGAATTCATATCATCATGGTTAGGCTACATCGTAGCTCTAACAAAGAAAATTAGAACATAATAGAAGAAAAAACGAAAATATAAATTAAATCAAACATCTTGAATCAAAGAACAAGAATTCTGTCACCACTTTTGTCTTCTCTTCAAAATACTTGAAAAACTCTCAGAACACTGAAAACAAAAACGATCTAAAACAAACTCCATGTTCCCCCAAGTTATCCTATTTATATGATAACATCCAAGACTCCTCTCACAAGGCAATTGCTTCTTTTTCGTATAAAATTAGGGAATAAATCGCAGAATTCCTAATGTGATATCCATCTTCTAATTCTTCTCTGGATTGCATATTCCTTTCCTTCTTTTTGCCATATTTTCCTTATTTTCTCCATATCTCATTACTTTGCATAAACAAGGAAAAATTAAGTAAATAAAAGGAAATCCAAATATATTCTAACAAATATTGCATTATTTATTGCCTAGAGTAGATAAAATAACTCTATTTTTATAGAGTTATCAAACCCCCAAACTTAACATTTTGCTAGTCCTCGAGCAAAAGCAAGATATAAGACATACTTAACCTAACAACCCCCTCCATGACTTCCTTCCATAATTGCTCGAAATCACAATTCAAAGAAAAACACAAATTTCATCCAAACATTGAAATAGATTCATAAGTTACAACCGATTCTAACTATGTGATCCAAGTGTGTGTGTGAGTCCTCATCTTTTCGAATTATATACAATCCAAATAAGTTCACATTGGTATGCAACCTCTCAAAAACTCTGTATAATTATAACCAAATCTCATAGGTTTGCTTTTCATTTCTCTCTACACTAATGTAAGCTAATCATCCAACCAAAAATCAATAGGACTTTCCTCAGGTTGTAATGTAAGGCTGGGCTAACGGTGAGATAATGGTAAATTTAAGCTCAAATCACCCATGAACACATTGATTTCTAGGATCTAATTAGAGCACATGCCACTATTCCCAATTTCACATCTTCAAAATAATCTTTCTGCCACTATGGATCATCATTCTTCCTCTTTTTTTTTTCTCTTTTTTTTTCATTGCTTTATGGTGGAGTTCCTCCCTAAGTCCCTCCTAATATAACGTGAACATTCCCAACCCATTGAGTATCCAAAAGGCTCACTCAATTGAAAGTTGGATAGGGAACCATAAAAGCAATTTTTTTTCTCTTTTTTTTTCTTTTTTTTTTTTGAAGAAGATACACCCCAAACAACCATAGCAATCAAATTATTTCCATGCTCCACCCTTCCTCCCAAATTGCTATTATGCTCAAATAAACTTTTATCCTAAAAAAAATCAATATGTTCATGGGGCGTGGGACAATGATATAATTTGGCAAAAGGTAAGCTAAAAAGTACGTGGGTGCCAATAAAAGATTGGATAATAATTAAGGCTCAACGGGGTGACTATGGATAAATAAACAGGGTTGGCTTGAAAGGCTCAATCGATCCAAAAATTGCCTAAATCATTTTCTCAGTTAGATGTAGCCTAGGATTTCGCCTCAAGAGAAAATCAAACAAATTCTAAGATTTGGGTGAGATCTAAAAAAAGCACATACTTCACATGAATGTTCTCTAGATGTACACACTACTCAAAAATTAAGGACTTCTAGTGCTCAGTAAGTGGATCGACATCATCAGAATCAAAATTAACTCACATATCATTCGCAAGTTTGAACAAAATTTAAATTTTCCTAAGAATCGCAAAAATTCACAACAAGGAATGCAACAAAAAAAAACAAATTCAGATTTAGCAAAAAAAAATTTGAGCAAAAATTTTGTCTCCCCCCAAACTTGAATGAAGCATTGTCCTCAATGTGAAAAACAAAAGAAACAAAAGAAAAATAGGAACAAGAAAACTCCCCTTGCTGTCGGATGTGTCCATGGATGGTCTTGATGACTAAACTCCAAAAAGGTGATCCTTCAAGAAAGAAAATTAACCTGGATAAAAAAAATATTAATCATGTTTTTTTTTTAAAAAAATGAACGTAAAAATTAATGAAGAAACATAATAAAAATGCTTGGGTTGCTTCCCAAGAAGCGCTTGCTTTATAGTTTTCAGCCAAACTATCTCAGATGTCGCTATTCTGGAGGATGAAGTTCAATAGTGGTCTTCTGCTTGTTGTAACCACTTTCGAAGTAGGGCTTCAAACGTTGACCGTTCACCTTAAATGTGCCTTCGGTGTCATGTGCAACTTCAACTGCTCCGTATGGAAATACCTGTGTGACTGTATAAGGACCAGACCATCGAGAACGTAACTTTCCTGGAAAAAGTTTAAGACGAGAGTTATAAAGTAAAACTTTTTGGCCAATTTCGAACTCTCTTCTGAATATGTGTTTATCATGCCATCTTTTGGTACGCTCCTTGTACATCTTAGCATTTTCATAGGCCTCATTACGAAATTCCTCCAATTCATTTAGTTGCAATAATCTTCTTTCACCTGCAGACTGCATGTCAAAATTCAGAAATCTCAATGCCCAATATGCTTTGTGCTCTAATTCCACCGGTAGATGACAAGCCTTCCCAAACACTAGCCTAAAAGGAGACATCCCAATTGGGGTTTTGAATGCTGTCCTATAGGCCCAAAGTGCATCATCAAGTTTCATTGACCAATCTTTCCTAGAGGCATTCACTGTTTTTTTTAAATTCTCTTGATTTCCCTATTTGAAACCTCTACTTGACCACTAGTCTGAGGATGATAAGGGGTTGCAACCTTATGTGTGACTCCATACTTACTCAAAAGTACTTCAAACTGTTTGTTGCAAAAGTGTGTCCCCCTATCACTTATGATTGCCCTAGGAGTGCCAAATCGCGTAAAAATATTTTTCTTCAAGAATTTGACAACAGCCTTAGCATCATTTTTTGGCAATGCTACAGCTTCCACCCACTTAGACACATACTCCACAGCCACTAAAATGTATAAATTACCATAAGAAGATGTAAAGGGTCCCATGAAATCAATACCCCAAACATCAAATAATTCACACACAATAATGTTGTTTAAAGGCATCTCATTTTTTCTAGAAATATTTCCAGTTCTCTGACACCGGTCACATGAAGCTACAAAGGAGTAAGCATCTTTAAAAAGTGTGGGCCAATAAAATCTAGATTGTAAAACCTTAGCTGCAGTTTTGGTGGCACCAAAATGACCACCCGCCTCTCTGTTATGACAATGATGCAGAATATTTGCCTTTTCTTCGTCTGGAACACATCTCCTTATGACCTGGTCTGCACATACCTTAAAACGAAAAGGTTCTTCCCAAAAATAATTTTTAACATCATAAAAGAATTTTTTCTTCTGTTGATATGACAATTCAGGAGGAAGAATATTACTTACCAACTAATTCACAAAATCAGCGTACCAAGGAATTTTTATGGATTTGATGGAAAAAATTTTCTCATCAGGGAACTCTTCCATAATTGGACTTACTTCTTCCTTTAAATTCGGAATTCTTGACAAGTGATCTGCAATTAGATTTTCAGTCCCCTTCTTATCTTTGATTTCCAAATCAAGTTCTTGCAGCAATAGAATCCACCTGATTAAACGTGGTTTTGATTCTTTCTTTTCAAGCAGATACTTAAGAGCAGAGTGGTCAGAATAAACTATAACTTTTGAGCCAATTAAATAAGAACGAAATTTATCAAAAGCAAAAACCACTGCCAAAAGTTCCTTTTCTGTTGTTGAATAATTCAATTGTGCACCTGACAAGGTTCGACTGACATAGTAAATGGTTTGAAAAATTCCATTCTTCCTCTGTCCCAAAACAGCTCCCACTGTAGAATCGCTAGCATCACACATTAGCTCAAAAGGTAAATCCCATTCTGGTGCTGCCATAATTGGTACTGATATTCACTTCTCCTTTAAAGTGTTAAAAGCCTGCACGCATTCATCAGTAAAATTAAATAGTGCATCTTTTACCAAAAGATTAGATAGGGGTCTAGCAATCTTAGAAAAATCTTTTATAAACCGCCTGTAGAATCCTGCATCCCCCAAAAATCCTCTGACAAGTTTCACAGATGTTGGTGGAGGCAATTTTGCAATAACCTCCACTTTGGCTCGATCGACTTCTATTCCATTTCTAGAAATCTTATGCCCGAGCACTATTCCTTCCTGTACCATAAAATGACACTTCTCCCAATTTAAAACAAAGTTAGTCTCCTCACATCTTTGTAAGACCAAAGCCAAATTATTTAAACAAGAGTCAAATGTTGAGCCAAAAACGGAAAAATCATCCATAAAAATCTCAATATATTTTTCAACCATATCAAAAAAAATAGCCATCATGCATCTCTGAAAAGTAGCTGGTGCATTACAAAGACCAAAGGGCATTCTTCTAAAAGCAAAAGTACCATAGGGACAAGTGAAAGTAGTTTTTTCTTGATCTTCTGATGCAATAGGAATCTGATTATACCCTGAATATCCATCAAGAAAGCAATAAAACTCATGTCCTGCAAGTCTTTCCAACATCTGATCAATAAATAGTAAAGAAAAATGATCTTTTCTAGTGGCATCATTCAATTTTCTGTAATCCATGCACACACGCCATCTGGTAACTGTCCTAGTAGGAATCAATTCATTATTGTCATTTTTCTGAACAGTCATACCGCCTTTCTTTGGCACAACTTGCACAGAACTTACCTAGGAACTATCAGAAATAGGATAGATGATCCCTGCATCAAGTAATTTAATTACCTCAGCTTTCACCACTTCTTGCATTTTCGGGTTCAAACGCCTCTGAGGTTGGATAGTGGGTTTATGTTGTTCCTCCATCAAAATTTTGTGCATGCAAATTGAAGAACTAATTCCCTTGATGTCAGCTATTTTCCATCCAATTGCACCTTTATGTTCTCTCAACACTCTGAGCAGTTTCTCCTCCATCAAATCTGTCAAAGAAGAAGATATAATTACTAGTAAAGAAGAAATTCCATCTAAATAAGCATATTTCAAATGAGAAGGTAAGGATTTGAGTTCAAGAATAGGAGGCTCTTCAATTGATGGCTTAAGCTTCGTTGTGTGTTGTCCCGACTCCTCAAATTTTGTTGCCTTATGCCTTGAATATGTTGGATTTGCCTCCATAAAATTTGCGTACTCCATTATCTCCTCATTCTCAATTTCTCTGTTTTTTGGTTGAACCAAACATGCTTCAAGTGGATCTTTAAAAATATTTTCTTGAAAAACATTGTTCACCAACTTGTCAACTGTCTCAACTCTAAAACAAGAATTATCATTAGAAGGATATTTCATTGCTTTAAAAACATTGAAAGAAACAAGATCATCTTGAACTCTAAGAATCAACTTCCCCTGTTGTACATCAATAAGAGCTCTTCCTGTTGCTAGAAAAGGACGGCCTAAGATAAGTGGTACCTCAAAATCTTCCTCCATGTCAAGAACTATGAAATCTGCAGGAAAAATAAACTTGTCAACTTTTACCAATACATCTTCCACAATACCTCTCGGATATTTAATTGATCGATCAGCCAGTTGAAGCGACACTGTAGTTGCTTTTACTTCACCCAATCCTAATTTCCTGAAAACAGAGAAAGGCATCAAATTAATACTTGCACCTAAATCACACAATGCCTTTTCAAAGTAAGAATCTCCAATAGTGCAAGGAATTGTAAAACTCCCTGGATCTTTTAACTTCGGAGGTAATTTATTTTGTAGGATGGCCGAACATTCCTCATTCAACTTCACAGTTTTGTAATCCTCTAGCTTTCTTTTGTTTGCAAAAATCTCCTTCAAAAATTTTGCATAGCTAGGCATTTGTGCTAAAGCATCTGCAAAAGGAATATTAATGTGCAATTTTTTAAAAACATCAAGAAATTTAGAAAATTGCTTATCTATTTTGTGCTGCTGGAGTCGCTGAGGGAATGGAACTGGCGGCACGTATGGCTTGGGATTATCTAGAAAAAGTTTGCTCTTGCCTATCTCATTTGGTTGTTTCTTGACCTCTTCTTCTTTGTCTCTGGAAATCTCTTGTTTGGTATCTTCTTCACCCACTTGTTTACCACTTCCTAGGGTTATAGCTTTTACATTCTCAATTGGATTTTTCTCTGTGTTGCTAGGCAAAGAACCCTATTGTCTCCCAGACATCATGTTTGCTAACTGCCCCACTTGCATCTCCAGATTTCTGATTGAAGCCTCTTGGTTCTGAAATCTCACATCTGTGCTCTTGATGAAGTCCTGAGTAGTGTTGGCAAGTTTTGTGACTATATCTTCTAGACTGGACTTTGTCTCTTCTGGTTGTTTGAATCCCAGTGGCAGTCTCATCACATTTTGATTATTCCATGAAAAATTTGGATGATTGCGCCATCCCGAATTATACGTGTTGGAGTAGGGATTATTTTGTGATCTGTTAAAATTCCCAACAAAGTTAGCATTTTCATTAGATTGAGCAAAAGTGTTACCTACCTGACATTCTGTGTTAACATGTCCTCCACCACAAAAATCGCATGTCATATTCTGAATTTTCATGCCTGAAACACTCATATTATCTATCTTTTTGTTGAGTGCTTCAATTTGTGCAGCAATTGCCGTGAAAGCATCCACCTCACGATCTCCACTAGCTTTTCGCACTGGTATCCTCTCAGTAGGCCACTGATAACTATTGGATGCCATCTCCTCTAATAAGTTGTAGGCTTCTTCTGGTGTTTTATTATTCAGAGTTCCCCTTGCAGCTACATCAATCATAGAACGGAGATTTGTACTACACCCATTATAAAAAGTTTGTACCTGCATCCATACGGGTAATCCATGATGTGGGCATCTCCTAAGAAACTCCTTGAATCTTTCCCATGCTTCATACAATGATTCATTATCCATATGCATAAAATTAGTAATATCGTTACGTATTTTTGCAGATTTTGCAGGTGGAAAGAATTTACCAAGAAATTTTTGGGCCATATCATTCCATGTAGTGATCGATCCTGCAGGAAGAGAAGAGAGCCAACCTTTAGCTTTGTCTCTAAGAGAGAATGGAAATAATCTTAATCTAATAGCATCATCTGAAACTCCATTATATTTGATTGTGTCACAGATTTCAAGAAAAGCATCGATGTGAGCATTTAGATCATCGCTTGAATTGCAGGTCTCCTGATACTTGATGTGGTGCCCTCAACTGTTGGCGCGGCATAATCTTTCAAGAGTCTACGTTGATTTCTACCATCATCAACTCCCTCCATCTTTTTAATGTGATTTCTCTATTCTCTCAGTCGCCTTTTAAATGTGCGTTCGATTTCTGGATCAAACTCAGTAAGTTTTCCTTGTTGGCTACGTGTCATGCACCAATGTATACTCTGAAAAAGAAGAAGATAAAAGCTAGATTAAACTTAGAATTATCCGGTATCAATATTAATTGGTATTAAATAAACAATCCCCGGCAACGGCGCAATTGACAATTTTTATTTGTTCTCAATTATATTTTGATCAGTTAGATAAATTTTAGAATTAGTCCATTTTTAATATTTAATTGGTTTATTATCATCAATCTCTGTGGGACGATACTCTTCTCATCATTATATTACTTGTTCAACACGTTCGTTGACACGTGAAGAATTTTACGAACAAGTTTTTGGCGCCGTTGCCGGGGATTGTTTATTTAATACCAATTAATATTGATACCGGATAATTCTAAGTTTAATCTAGCTTTTATCTTCTTCTTTTTCAGAGTATACATTGGTGCATGACACGTAGCCAACAAGGAAAACTTACTGAGTTTGATCCAGAAATCGAACGCACATTTAAAAGGCGACTGAGAGAATAGAGAAATCACATTAAAAAGATGGAGGGAGTTGATGATGGTAGAAATCAACGTAGACTCTTGAAAGATTATGCCGCGCCAACAGTTGAGGGCACCACATCAAGTATCAGGAGACCTGCAATTCAAGCAAACAACTTTGAGATCAAGCCATCACTGATTCAGATGCTTCAACAATCAGTGCAATTTAGTGGGCTACCAAGCGATGATCTAAATGCTCACATCGATGCTTTTCTTGAAATCTGTGACACAATCAAATATAATGGAGTTTCAGATGATGCTATTAGATTGAGATTATTTCCATTCTCTCTTAGAGACAAAGCTAAAGGTTGGCTCTCTTCTCTTCCTGCAGGATCGATCACTACATGGAATGATATGGCCCAAAAATTTTATAAACTAAAGGCAGATAATCAATCAGGTAAAATATGTTAGAGCATCCGATTTCACCATAACCACTAGATATGAATTTCGGATCATTATGCATACAAGAACAATATCAAATATGTGATAGCGGAATTTCCTAGTCTATTTACTATCCTATCTCTAGGTATAGCAAACCTACTCAGTTTATCAATTCACTATATTTCTATGTGAATTTAAATAAACATAAGCGCATTAAAATCTGTGAATATTCCCGGTTTACAATGAATCTTTTGGACCACCTTATCACCGAAAGCTACACAAATAACATGGTATATTTCTATCCACATTTAATTCATGGTTATATATTATAAGGAGCAATTGCATATTATTACTTCTCAGTCTCAAACATGTACATCGAATCATTCAAGTGGTGGCCAATCACCTAAACGCATTAAGCACAATAATATATAACTCACATGAATGAAATTACTTGCCAAGCATAAAAAGCATGAAATTCATATCATCATGGTTAGGCTACATCGTAGCTCTAACAAAAAAAATTAGAACATAATAGAAAAAAAAGCGAAAATATAAATTAAACCAAACATCTTGAATTAAAGAACAAGAATTCGGTAACCACTTTTGTCTTCTCTTCAAAATACTTGAAAAACTCTCAGAACACTGAAAACAAAAACGATCTAAAAAAAACTCAATGTTCCCCCAAGTTATCATATTTATATGATAACATCAAAGACTCCTCTCACAAGGCAATTGCTTCTTTTTCGTATAAATTAGGGAATAAATCGCAGAATTCCCAATGTGATATCCATCTTCTAACTCTTCTCTGGGTTGCATATTCCTTTCCTTCTTTTTGCCATATTTTCCTTATTTTCTCCATATCTCAATACTCTGCATAAACAAGGAAAAATTAAGTAAATAAAAGGAAATCCAAATATATTCTAACAAATATTGCATTATTTATTGCCTAGAGTAGATAAAATAACTTTATTTTTATAGAGTTATTAGTAAACATTTTGGGTTTAAGTATGATCTAGGTGTGAGAAACACTCGAGCGTGTGAGTAATTTTAACTCTGATTTTTAGATTATAGTGGATTATTTGCTGCTGGCTCTCTCTATGGATATAACACCGATACTCGAATTGAACCATGTGAATTTTTTGTGTCATTTATTATTTCTCTGGTTATCTCGCATTGACTTAAACTGCAAGATCCTATTAGCGTTTCTGCATTTATTTTACAACATAAATTCTCTATTTTCCTTGTTATGGGAAGGATTACTATATTGAGGAAATTAACCCGCACGACAAGCCAAGTCATGACATGAATGGTGGGATTTTAGTTCGAAGTTCATTGCATGTGACTCAAATGCTTTTGGGTGTCTGTGACATGTATCCAAAGCATATGAAGTTACTGAATATCCAATGTCCTCCTTAGATGGAAAAGAAGTGGGTTCAATAGGACTTGATGCACACCAAAATCTTAAACCATTCTATTCCAATTCAAATTGAGTTTTTACAGCTTAGTACCAAAAAGGACACAGTTGGAGTTGAACTGGCACACACGTGCAGGGGTGTCGAGGTTCGATGGAACCCTTTTCGGGTCTCAGTACTGAGGATGAGCGGACCAATCGAAGGTCAAACATTATATTAAGACCCACCACAATTCGTCACACAATGCCAAACGAACCACCCAAGTTTAAACTAATGATTAATTCGCTGCCACACGCCGACAAAATCAGAAATGGCGGTCCCTCGTGCGATCCCCAGCCCGTGTTAGCGAAGTGGAACCGACCCCTCCTTTCTTAATTAATTACACCCCCTAATGTAATCCCAAACCATAAGCTAACCCAAGCCATTATGATGAAGATACTACCGATTTTGTCCCCAAGTTGCTACGTACCTTCTTCAGATCTCTCTCTCTCTCTCTCTCTGTCTATCTCTCTGTCTCGACCGACCAACGTTGGGATTTGGAGAAGGACAGCCAACATCCAGAACGTAAAAGGCCGGCTGCTCCCGCATGGATTCATTGATTAAAAAGCTCGTGCAGAAAACCCATTTCTTGCATCGTTGATTACTTCCTGTATGATGGGATTAACGAGAACAATTATTAGGGCTTGACATGACTAAAGTGAATAGTGGGGATGGCTGTAGCAGGATGGGGAATGATCCGCACTCCATTCATTGTATCGTCCGCGTGTGCGTTGAATTCGAATGCCACTTGCTCTTGTGCATGCAGATTGGTACCGATATGGGGCACAACATGAGGCTTGATTTTGCAGGCTTCTTGATTTGCCACTAAATTCGCAGAACCATTTGCAACAGACAAGAGTTATTGGTGCATGCATAGTTTTCTTCACCCAAAAGGATGTCATAACTTTTTCTCTTTATTAAAAAGACAAAAAGATAAGAAAAAAAATTTGAAAGCACGGGTGTAATGAACATTTGCATACACCTCTTGAGATGGGAGATCCATAATTAATTGAACATCGAGCTACTAATTTAATATCATCCCAAGTGATAGAGGTCTCCCCATTTTAATCTATCCCGTAAAGTATAGTGTTATTAGATCGGTCTCACTTCTTTTTAATCCCGAAAAGTATAGCACCGAGTTTGAAGTACTTATAGACGCACTCGGGAGAGCTGTCAATACTCATCGTCCGTTTTCCCGTCATTTGTCTAACTGAAAGAAGGAAAAATTGGATTGCCGAATCGAAAGAATTTAATCTCTACTTACGTCTTTCCTATCCACACAGCCTTTTCACGCTTTGCACCCGATTCATCGAACAGTAAATCTCATTTGCCGTCAAGTTAGTGAATTTTGATTTCAATATAGACACAACGACGTCAGCATCTCATAAAAAAAGCCAACTCAACTTCGACCAAAGTGTATTAATTGCAAAAAAAAAAAAAACAGAAAGAGAGAGAACTGACAATAGTACATATAGGGAATGGTAATTAATATCAAATCTCAAACAACGTGATTAATAAAAGGCCACTAAAAATTAAATGATCATCAATGAATTTCTCTCTACGACCCTTAGCGCAATCGGATTTGAATCCGACATTGAATTTCGGAGAACAGCAGCAGCTCCCTAATCATAATTACATGATCATCAATGAATTTCTCTCTACGACCCTCAGTGCAATCGGATACGAACCCGACATTGAATCTCGGAGAACAGCAGCTCCCTAATCATGCCCAACAAAACATAAATTAACATGACAAACCAAACTGAAATCAAAATAAAGACAAAATGCAACTGCCACGTCAGCCAGTGCATGTATCCGACTCCCTATATATATAACCCCCCCGTCCGTTTCTCCTCCTCGTCTCATTCCTCGCTCTATCTCTTTCTCTCTTCGTCTCACTCCACAGCGAGAGCAAGCAGAGGAGGAAGAAGAAGAAGAACAAGAACAAGAATTATCCACACACAAGTTATAGAAATTCTTCTTTTGAATTCGGATAGAAAGAGAAAGATGGATTCTTCTTCTTCTTCTTCTTCTTCTTCCTCGACTGTTGCCGCGACTGTCGCTGTCGCCGCCGCCGCCGCCGCCGCCACCACTGTGGTGTCGAAATGCAGGGTGCACCCGTCGCAGGCGTCCGCCATGGGCGACCTCAAGCTGTCCGTCTCCGACCTCCCCATGCTCTCCTGCCACTACATCCAGAAGGGGGTCCTCCTCCCGCGGCCCCCCTTCCCCGTCCAGCATCTCGTCTCCCTCCTCCAGCTCTCCCTCTCCCGCACCCTCTCCCTCTTCCCTCCCCTCGCCGGCCGCCTCTCCACTGGCTCCTCCGGCCGCGTCCTCATCTCCTGCAATGATGAGGGCGTGGACCTCATCCACGCCTCCGCCGGCGACGTCCTCGTCGCCGACCTCCTCTCGCCGTCCCGAGTCCCCGAGCGGTTCAAATCGTTCTTCCCGCTGGACCGGACGGTGAGCTACCGGGGCCATTGGGAACCGATCGTGGCTGTCCAGGTGACCGAGCTGCGAGACGGCGTCTTCATCGGCTGCGCCGCGAACCACGCCGTCGTGGACGGGACCTCGTTCTGGAACTTCTTCAACACCTTCGCCGAGGTCTCGCGAATCGGCGAACGGAGGTTCTCGAAGGTCCCGGACTTCCGCCGCGAGTCGGTGCTGATTTCCGACGCCGTGCTCAAAATCCCGGAAGGGGGCCCGACGGTGACGTTCAACGAGGACGAGCCGCTGAGCGAGAGGATCTTCAGCTTCACCCGTGAAGCGATCTCGCGGCTGAAAGCCAAAGCCAACGACAGGAAATGGAGCGAATCCGAGGATGGCAACTTCAACGCCGTCGAGATCATGGGGAAGCAAATGCACGACCCTTACGTGACCAGCGGTAACGTGAAGCTGACGCCGTCGTTCCTCGGGAGCTGGTTCGCCAAGCAACGTGGCGGGGCAGGGACGCGCGTCGAAACGGCGGAGATCTCGTCGTTCCAGGCCCTGAGCGCGCTGCTGTGGAGGTCCGTGACGCGTGCGAGGAAGCTCCACGCGTCCAAGACGGCCACGTTCCGGATGGCCGTCAACTGCCGCCACAGGCTCGAGCCCCGGCTCGAGGCGCACTACTTCGGGAACGCGATCCAGAGCATCCCGACCCGCGCGGCGGCCGGGGAGGTGCTGTCCCGGGACCTGCGGTGGTGCGCGGAGAGGCTGAACAGGTCGGTGACGGAGCACGGGGACGCCGCGGTGCGGGGGGCCGTGGAGGAGTGGGAGAGGGAGCCGAGGCTATTCCCGCTGGGGAACGCCGACGGCGCGTCGATCACGATGGGGAGCTCGCCGAGGTTCCCGATGTTCGACAACGACTTCGGGTGGGGGAGGCCGGTGGCGATCAGGAGCGGCAGGGCGAACAAGTTCGACGGGAAGATATCGGCCTTCCCGGGGAGGGAAGGCGGCGGGAGCGTCGACCTGGAGGTGTTGCTGTCGCCGGAGACGATGGACGGGATCGAGTCCGACCTGGAGTTTATGCAGTACGTGTCGCAGCACTGATGACGTGGACGGTGCTCGGCGTCGTTGGATTCGGTCTTTTCTTTTCCGGAGGGAGGGGATTGAGTGTGTTGGATTTGGTGGGGTCCAGGAGTTTCAACGGTGCGGATTTGGTCTGAGGTGTACATGAGAGGATTGACTCGGATCCTCTCCCTCGCGCGCGACATGTCTGACCACAATAAGTCAAAGTTAGTTTTTAACCGATGTTGTCTTGAAACCTTTTCTATCCTTTTGTTTCCTGTTTTTTTTTTTAATCTAAATTTGGGATGTGTCCCCATGTGTCCATTTGAAAAGTTGTCGAATCCCTTGTGTATGAACCATCTAATTTGGTAGTTGAAATCGCTCTCTTCCTTGTGACTCAACCGCATCTCCTTGTAAATTGAGCTCATGAAATGATCATTGATGTGTAAACGATAATATAACGATAAATGATGTAAACGGCGACTCGAGGGGAAATTTCTCCTACACAATTCTTAGATGCGCTCCAAAATATGTAAGTGATCAAAAAGAATATGTAAGTGATTAGAAAGAAGCTTTTTCCCATGTTCTCGAATGGTTGGGAGAAGTAATGTGAAACAAATTATAAGTGCATTTATTTCGCCAAAAATTACTGATTTGACAAATATTTTTTTAAATGATCACTAATATATATTGAAATAATCAATCAATGAAAATATTTTCATTGTAGAAAATGATTTATGTCTATATATTTTCGTGTAAAATACTTTTTGTTCAATCATTTCTAGAAAAATATTTTTTAGATAATTAATTTTCTGCAAAACAACGGGACCCTACATGCATGTTTGTTTGAGTTAAAGTAGAAGTTAAAGTAGAAGAAAAAAATCGCTAGCACGTAAAATATGTCTTAGATTTCCTAAAAAAGAAGTGAAAAAATAAATGTAAATCTAAGATTGTCAACATTTACATGTGAAATTTTCAAAAGCTTCATAATTTGATCGAATTGCCTGCTCGGCCAAATTTTGATTTAGCTAAAAAAGCAAAATGTAAAAGCAATCCAGACGGGCGCCAAAAAGTTCATTGACTTCAGTTTGTAAAGGAAACGCTCAACGGCACGATTTTTCTAATTGTATGAACTGCTCATACATCAAAGACATTGCATCGTGGAAAATGCAGACTGAAAGCAGCTTTTGAATTCAGGTAAAGATAGGGAGCTTCAGTATCTAGTTGAATCAGTGCCAGTTGAATCTCAAATTTAAATTAAGATAAGAGCTTGCAGCAAATTAACATCTACAGCACAGCACACAAAGGAAGCAAGAGAATGCACGGCAGCGAGTGCATCTCCATCATTCGACTGGCAAAGAAAGAAGATTGTCACTGCCAAAAAGACCGAACGCCTCTCTCACAGTGACCGATATTTGCCGTCATTATCCACTGCTTTCCTTCCATGCCTCTGTTTCTTCTCCACGGCCGCGAGCTCAGAAAGAAATGGCGAGCACAAACTGTTGATGGAGAAACACTAGCCGAATGTCAACAGCTGATACCGTCCCTTATTCAGCTTCCCGCTGCAGCAGGAACATCAACAGGCTTCGAGTCTTCCGCCTTCTCATGTTCCTTGTTCAAAATCTGAAATAAAAAGCCATGAGTCTTCATCTATATTTAACAGTAGCAGTTAAAAGAATATCAGCAAGCCTCTGTTGACGCCAACTTTTTATTGCCTTCAAAAGATGAAATTTGAACATAGCTTTCTGTTCACTAATAGGACTCATAGGTTCTAAATTTCAATTTTAACATAGTACTAATCCATCAGTTGCGAGTTCACCGCCATTAGTTTCTCAAGTCAAGTAATTCCCAAGTATACCAGAAGAAAGGTTCAATGCATAGGGCAGAAATTTTTTTATCAAGACCATTGGGGTCACTTATAAACAGGGGCAATTTCCATGGAAAACTACCCAGCTATGAACCACACTTTGCTTAAAATCTTATCCATTCAAGTAGTGTGCTTCAATAATATTTTGTTGACGCACTTTACAGGAAGGGCTCGAGTAAATTAACAACATGATATACATAAAACACGATGTGCCCATAATTTATTTAATAATTCAGTATGGCAACTCACCTTATTGTTAATCAAGTTGTGGAGAGCAACTACACTGCGAATTAGGGAAGAGAGATATATCACCAGCATCATATCATTTGTTTTCACTGCAAAAGGTGGAATAGATGAAAAATGTCAATGAACATTGAGGCAGGGGAAGGAAAGAAACAACCTTCCATTTCATTTCTACTTTACCAGCAAAAGACTTGACCAGCTCAGCCACATTGAGGTTTGGAAGTAAGTTGAACACGTCCTGGAGGAAGCGTAGAATTATATAAAAGTAAGCAGACCATATCAAGAAAATGATCAGTAATAGACCATAGAACAACAGCCGATTCAAAAGCTGTTACCGAAAGTTGCTTGGGTTCACTACGAGGACAAAGAGATGAGAACAGGAAGTACAAAGAACGGTACACTAGGACTTAAAGAAAGGTATAGCTGTCTGAAAAATATAGCACAGACATCTCTATGAATGCATATTTGCTTGTATTACCCAAGATGCACATGATAAACAAAGGAGTACACACATGTTGAACTGCTATGACCTCACCATCGATCAATCAGTATCAATCAGAACATCGTGTTGAGCTCTTAACACACATTAAAGGGATTCTTACACTAGATAATAGGGAATTAGATGGTTTCCCTTAGCTTTCCCCTATTACCCCAGGAAATGAAGAATAATGTGTGCTTGTCACTGCTCAAAGAGAAGATTTGTTGATTATCTGGATCAAATAACTGATTCACTTTAATTCTATGAGACCAGAAGAAGTCACCCAGAAATAACATCTTGCAAGTTTCAATGAATCCAGCACCGATAACAAGAAATACCTGGACAGTCAAACTAGCTGCTACTAAGATTTGATTTCATTATTTATTCAACAGCACATGTTAAATGGATTTGAGGAGCCGGGAAGGAAATTGCCAGTATCGCACAAACAAATCCTAAATAGTCTATAAGAAAACCAACCTGTAAATGGTACAAAATCTCATGGTTTAATGGAAGCTTTTCGTCAATAACAAGATCTAGATAACTCCTTATCTCTCGAAGCCTCGCATCCAACCCCTTCAATGCAGTAAGTTTTCCGGTAACCTTGACAAGAAAAGTATTAAGTTTCAGTGTTATTCTATCGCAGTCTCAAAGATTTTAGCATTGAAGATGAAAACTAACTGGATACTAAACAGCTCAGCATAATCAAGAGATGACACCTCTGTGGCAAGTGTGCTAATAGTTGTATCCTTCACATCCCTTAGCAAGTGCTCAACACCTGAGAAAGGGTGGTGGTCAGGAAGGTGAATCAAAGCAGTCATAGATGTTTGAGGGATGCTACCAAATACCAGATAAACAAGAGAAAAGAATGCCTTCCCAATGCCATACCTATCTCCTCAACTTCATGAGCAGCAATTTCTGAAGGTACGTGCACAAACACCTTCTGGCTCTTCTGTGTGGCATTCTGTGAACAGTTTTGAAATCAGTTAAATTTTATGCAGGAGCTTGTGTGTCACAGTGTCACAAACTACTATTTTTTATAGTCACTCTGGTTGATTATACCATGAAGCAGAATGAATCTCCTAGATTATTACCTCTTTAACCTCTTCAACAGCACAGTATGCTTTGGTTGGTATACCTAGCTCTTTGGGTTGAACATCAATTATGACCAACACAGGATTAGGGACATAACTGCAATCAGTTCAAGATTCTATAATAAAAGTTCCATAACATAAATTATGAAGCAGGAAATGATGAAGTCAGAGCTAAACATCCTTTAGAGATACATAGATTACAACCGATAGTTGTTAAGTTCCTCAAAGAACAAATTAGGAGATCTCATCAACTAAGAAAAGAACACGACATATATTGACTAGAAAAGCAAATAGAAGGCATAATGGAATAAAAGTGAGAAGGTCATCACATTCTGATAAACATATTACGTAGATCTTACTCATCAAATAGTCTATGCACATTGAGGTCGTTCTCTCGCAATTTCGGACCAGTGCTGTACCACCCCACAACATGCTCCTTGGCTGAAAGATAATACATCCACGATCCATTCAGTAAACATCAGATCAGTTGGGTAAAGAAAGTACTCGTGACTTGTCAAAGATGATACCATTTATTCTCTTGAACATGCCAAACATTGCTTCATGGTAATTGTGATCGAGAAACCAGATGCTTGGATCCTTCTCATCTTCCTCAAATGGTACTGTTAAGTAGGGAATTATACATGAGTCAAGCATTTGAGACAACCAAGAAAAGCCCCAAGAGAACAACTAAAATAGAACCTTCCTAGACATGCAGGAAAGTATATTTAGGTTACCCTCAGTATCATAGCCTGGCCTGACACTAGAGTAGGTACAAGCATTCTAAAATAATAATGTCTAAGCTTTCTAAATTTCCACCGACAGAGTTGTTTCTCACACAAAAACTCCCTTGTATCAAATGCGGGGGCTCTTTTAAGCAATAGAATCAATGTGGTTCCTGGGAGTCAATAATTGCCATACATATTTTTAAGGGATTGATCTCTTGATTAACGGACTGTTTCACCACGAAGACTTGACAGTTCATTCCCTCCTCTCCAAGATTGTCCAAGAGAACAAGGGAAAAGACCGCATAGTTCATTCCCTCTTCTCGAAGAGTATGCAAGAGCACGAGGGATCACTAAATGATTTCCTTCTTGCCCTCACTAACTGCCCTTCCAGGAACGACCGAGCCTCCCTCTTTTAATACATTCCAAAAGAAGGCAGAGTAATCAAGCTTCACCCATGGCATATTCAAAGAAAAAATTGAAGATATAACACTGCATACAGTGTACAGCCCCGAAGTTTCGCTTCAGTCACACTCAAACTTCAGTTTCGACGGAGCATCGTCCGGGAAACTCGAGTTTCCCATAGTCAAGCTCGAACCGAAGGGAAATTTCGAGTGAAAAACGTTTAGCAGAAGTCGATTTCTCACGATATACTGCGAGAAAGCAATCCTTGACCACTCTCTCATTTGCATCCCCAGATTATGCCATGCCTTACATTAAGCATCGGCGCTCAAATCGCAGAAATCAGACCCCGCGTCGGGTCTTGTTCCTCACATTTCATCTTAGCGCCCGCAACAGAAGCTCAAAATGCCACAAATTCCACAACTGTCATTTCTTTTTCCCTCCAATGAAATTCATTCAGAAACGCGACGACTTCTACTACATCAGCTCGCACTAGAAAACCCACTTCGCACAAAAAATTTCTGAAGCCTGAGTAAAACCCAATATCGAAACCCCGCCGAAATTCCTAGATCTATTCGAAGGACCGACGTGCTGTGGGGGGAAAGCTCCCAAACCTGCGTAGCTGTTGGAGACGTCGACGACGCCCTTGAAGGAGCTGCCAAGCAAGACGCCGACGACGCGCTTGCGGGTGTCCTTGGCGACCCTGTTGTAGTTGTCCACGATGCTGAGGAGGACGAGGGGGTGGACGATCACCTTCTCGATCGGCCGCGACGACACCTGCTGGGTCTTGATCACGTCCATCCTTCGATTCCAATTCCGAATTCGAAATCACCACTCCGTCGCCACCGCCGCCACCGCCTTCCTTCTCCTTCTCCTTCTCCTTCTCCCTCTCCCTCTCCCGAGTGAATCGGAAAGCAGAGCTGAAGCAAAGCGAAGAGGCTCTGGACTGCTTCGTCTTCGTCGAGCTTTTTGTTGCTCGCTTGTTCGTGTCGTGGTGTTCAAGTTAAGAAGGGAGAGTCTCCGACCATCGATGGGGGAACCTCGATTGGGCCGAAAACATGGGCCAGCCCAGAATTGCGGCCCGATAACGTAAGAGGACTGCAAACGTTGGTAGCTATCGAATCACAAACAAATAATGTGGATTCGTTCCCGGAAAAATTGGGCTAACTTCAAGAAAAAAAAAGCACCAACTTTACCTTGATTAGCAATTCTGATCCGAACTTTTTTTGTCTCGATAACAAGCACCAAATTTTACTCTAGTTCCAAATCTGGCCCTCGTGTCGTGAAATTTTTTAATTGTTCAGGCAAGATTTTGGATTTAAGTGAAAGTTGGTGATTTTTTATGAGACAAAAAAAAAGGTTTGGATCAAAATTGTCACTCCAAGTAAATTTGGTGTTTTTTTTTTTTTTGGAATTAGGCCTGAAAAAATTATCAAATTAAAATTATTATATGTTTTACAGAATTTGTTATGGTAGGTTATCAACGCATAAGCAGAATGCGTGTTCACGTTCATGGCTAGTTCGCCACCGGCTTATCTTATGATGGTTGGTCAATCCTTTGGTGCCATTTGATTAGATCTCTGTCGCCCAGCCAATCAAAGGAAGCACCGGAAAACTCTCGTTTGGAAAAAAAAAAAACTTGGTACATATTTCGAGGGCATATAGAAACCCGTATTCACTTTCTTTACACACTCTGGTCCAAACCTTACAAGTGGTCTTTAGAAGCGTTAAATTAAAAGCTCACGAACTCTTGAACTATGGATCGGCAACCTTGTCCATCAACATGCCATCGCTGTCGCAACACAGGGGACCATCATAATCCTTCAACGACTCAACTAACTCACCACCGATATTCTAATACATGGAAATACACTTAGTATAAACTACTAACAATTCTAATATAATCTCGTCTTGATATCACAATCAAAATAGAGGGAAGCTCCAAAAAGCGATGACGACGAGGATCCATCTTACATATCTAAAAAATAAAGGAGTGAGACAAATCTTAGTAAATGAAATCTCTAAGTCTAAGGTAGGAGATCTTCTTACCACTCAATCCGGTACTAATAAATAACGTGAGTGCGAAATAATTATATTCGACTAATGAAAAAGTAAATGCATTATCTTTACTATCATGATATACCTATGGAAACAATTAAAAACATTGCATAAGATCATTCACTCAAATGCAAGCAGATGGCATATTATCTCATAATGCGAAAATACCACATAGTAGCTCATCGATATACACAAGTGAGTTCATATTCGTCACTGGCCAGGACCATCTCGATTCACGAGACATCTCGACTAACGAGGCATCGTCACCACCAACTCATGGGAAACGGAATCATTCATACCCCTTGCCACGTCTTGGCCCATTCATCATGGGTGTCCTCTTCATTAGTGAGGATAAATACACTACTATACATCCACGTGATTATGATCATTTCTTAACATCAAACCATGGCAAAGCCATGTCATACCATGACTACAAGAGTTATGTCATACCATGTGTCATGTCATCATAGGATTTCATATCATCTCAACCTTGTAAAGAACCGTTCTATACGATAGAACATCTAGCTAACTCCAGAATCTCATCCACATACTCATATAAGGGAATTCGCTCTGTGGCGAATAGGCCATGGCAAAAGTCTTAATCACGTGGCATCATTCACATACATTTCATAATAGCATAACAATCGCCACGTACATTTCATCATTTGCCATGTCTCATGCAATTAATGATAATAATTAATTGTAGGAATTGGGATACTGCAAGTGCCAAAACTTGTGTACGGCGCTCACTTTGGTGCCAAAAGTTTCCACTGGATCACTTAAGTGCCAAATTTTTTGAAAAACGATCACTTAAGTGACAACTTCCGTCATTTTCATCGGAAATCCGACGTGGTATTTTTTTATTAATTTCTGAAGCCGATGTAGCTCGCCGAAGGATGAGTCAGCATATACAGTCACCATTTTTTATTTTAAATAATTGTTTTCCTTTTTTTTTTCTTTTTTTCCTTTTCTCCAGGTGGCCGGGCCGGCCACCAGCGAAGCTCGGGAAAGGCTGGGCGAGGGTCGTCCTCACCCGATTTGGGCGAGGCCGCCTGTCGTCGGCGAGGGATGGCCTCGCCAGATCTGGGCGAGGCGACCCTCGTTGGTGACAGGTGAGGTTGCCCCTCACTACCCTCGCCTAGCCCTTCCCGGGCTTCGCCGGTAGCCGGCGAGGGGCGGCCTCACCCATGGCTAGCGAGGGGCAGCCTCGCCTGTCGCCAGCGAGGGCGGTCTCACCCAGATCGGGTGAGGGTGACCCTCGCCTAGCCCTTCCCGGGCTTCGCCGGTGGCCGACCTAGCCACCGACAACCGGCCGGCGAGGAAGAAAAGGAAAAAAAGAAAAGAAGGGAAAAAAGAAAGAAAAGGAAAAAAATTTATTTAAAATAAAAAATGTTGACTGTACATGCTGACTCATCCTCCGGCGAGCCACATCGGCTTCAGAAATTAATAAAAAATGCCACGTCAGATTTCCGGCCAAACTGACTGGAGTTGGCACTTAAGTGATCGTTTTTCAAAAAGTTTGGCACTTAAGTGATCCGGCGGAAACTTTTGGCATCAAAGTGAGTGCCATACACAAGTTTTGGCACTTGTAGTGTCCCAGTTCCATTAATTGCGTGTATTTTAGCACATATATCATCACTCTTTCCATGCTAAGCCATCATCATTTAACTTGCAAATCATATGCTATTCATGGCACAACCATCATCCAATGCATTTCAACTTCACGTGCATGCCATATCAACATCACATATGCCACAAAAGTTTATTTATATTTTCGGTATAAACCGTGGCATTCAAATTGTTACTTATTTTCAAAGTATAAGACTTCAATCTCTTTTTACCATACCAACACCATAAAATTCTTGATTATGTGATTAGCTCATTACAACATCAATAGTAGCAATTAAGCCCCCAAACTTTGTGAATTTACAATTTTGCCCCTATACTCCCAAAATTAATAACTTAGTCAAATTTCGAAATAATTCATCCATTAAAACATCTTAAGGTTCTATTTCCATCAAAGCATCTGGAATTTCCAATATTTGCATATTGCTCCTCATTTTTCATAAAATTACGATTTTACCCCCAAACTTTCAAAAATTACAATTTAGTCCTTTTTCCGAAATAAATTAACCATTAAAATAATCCCAAGATTCTAATTCGATGGCTAGTCCTCAGAATATCTAATATCTGCAAATTCGTCCTCAATTTTAGTGAAATTATAATTTTGCCCCTAACTTTAAAAAAAAAATTGCATAATTGGACACTTTGTCTAGATTAAGCACTTAATAAAAAATAACTTAACCACCTAACAATATAAGATTCCTCATGCTGTAATTAGTCCCCAGAACTTCCAGTATTTACAAATTCGTCCTTCAACTTGATGAAATTACGAATTTACCCCTACGGCTTCTAAACTCATTTTCTTGAACCGGTTTGATTTCCTCTAATTAATCTTACTTAATAATTCACTAATTAATACTAAAACTCATAAAATATTTATGTTAACAGCACCCTCTCACTTCTGTAAATTTTTTTAATTCGTTCATAATTATCAAAACTTACCAATATACCCTTCTAATGCTTAGCTTGACCCTTTTCACATCTTTCTCATTCAAGATGCAACAAAACATACTAGTAACCTCTCAAAGATATTCTAGGCATGTAGAGAACTTCATAATTCAAGCTCCACAATCACAATAGTGTAACGAGCAATTATTGAAATTCAATCAAACATAGAATAGAATCTAGACCACTTAAACAAACAATCAAACAACCAAGTTCAAGAGTACCAAGTAGATCAATCTAACTTAGCGCCTAGATATTTTCACTTACCTTGAATGAAAGACTTGAATAATTCAAATCCTCAACCACCTTGTAAGATGCTTGATAGGCGGAGATTAAAAACTTAGAATAACACAAATTGGATAATCTTAGAAGCTTGGATGAAAATGGAGTTAGAGCTTTGTTTGGTTTGGAAGAGAGTATAATAGAAAATTGAAGCTTGAAGATGAAGAAGATGAAGTTCACGCTCAAGAGGAAGGGTTTTATCTTATCTCTTCTCTTCCACTTTCACTATTGAGGCCTTAATTAATAGCTAGAGTCAAAATTAATAATAGAGTACTAACTAGAGTTATTGGGTAAAATAATTTGTCATGCATGAAGTCATCAAAGTATTATGTCATGCATGAAGTCATCATGAGCTAATTTAAAATGGTTTAATAAAAATAGACGGTAAATACTAGGTGAAAATAGATAAGGAAATCGTATTCGTTTAAAATACCGATTGATCCAAATTATTCCGAGTCCACTAATATTATTATTAAAAGCATAAAAAATGGGAATACTTAAACTCAATAAAATCTTAAAAATTGAAAATTATTCGATACTTATTCAGGAGCGTATCGGTCTTTATTGATAATTTTACTAAACTAGTCACATTTCCTTCAATGATTCGTACTAACTTAATACCTTGAGTATTATAAACCACAAAGAAAATTGCGGATGCCACATATATGATTGAGAATATTGAAGTATTTTAGGAATTCAAAGTTTGCTTAGTCAAAGAAGGAAGTCTTTGACTTTTCGCTTAAATAATCATATAATTCATAGAATAGGCCTATCGAAATAGACAATATACCCACCTAACCCATTAACCAAAAGCAAGACCTCAGTGATCAAATCTCCGCCATGGAAGTGAAAGAAGTCCTCTTCATGAGCAAAGGACACGGAGAAGATAGCTACGCTCACAACTCAACCTATGCGGTTTGTTTCATTCAATTAATACTCCCTTTCCTGTTTTTTTGTTCGTTTTTTTCTTTTCATTTTTCACCGTTAAGGCGAAGTCGATTTAATTTCCAAAGTAATAGATGGGATCAGTCGCTAATCGCGAGTCATTGAATACGATTTTGTGTCATAAAATTATAAGTTGTGGTTCGATGTTCTCTAAACTACGAGATTGGGTTAGTTTATGAGAATGAATTCATTTCTTGCATGCCAGCAAAAGGTTGCATCTTTAGCCAAGCCCGTGATAGCGAACACGGTTGATTCTCTACTCGAGGAATGTTTTTTCCCATGCAAGCTTCTAAATGTTGCTGATTTGGGCTGTGCTTTGGGTCCTTGCCCGGTAACTTTCATGTCGACCGTCATAGAGAGTGTACAGAAGAAGCATGCGCTCTCAAATTGCCCGTCACCTGAATTCCAATTTTATTTGAACGATCTTCCCGGGAATGATTTCAACACGTTGTTCCAAAGCCTGTCTAACTTCTCGCAAAACTATGAAAGCTTATCGTGCTCTATAATGGGAGCTCCGGGTTCTTTCCATGGAAGGTTCTTCCCTAGAAACTGCTTGCACCTTGCTCATGCCTCCTATAGCGTCCATTGGTTATCTCAGGTAAATTTGATTCTATATGTATGTATTGTGCAAATGATTGTTGTGACGATTTATTATTGTGAGAGATATATGTAAGGTCGAAATATCTTATAAATCATGTGTTAGGTCCACTGAAAAAATTTAGTTGTTTCGAGTGCAAGATGACTTAGGCTCATACCGATCCATCATCTCATTCAAATTCTTTTCATTTCTTTTTGGGTCTAAATCTCATTCAAATTCAAGGGATGCACATACCTTAAAAAATCATCACAAGACATATGATCCATTAGTTCTTTGTGGATATAACATGTGAATGACAATATCACGAGAGATAAATGGGTTCATACTATTGGACTAATCAATCATCTCAATTATTGATACATAAGCTTCAAAATTTTTCGAGTAGACAGACTTAGGTTCGAATCTCGCCGTTGTCTCATTCAATTCGTGCATGCATCCCTAAAATAGAGATGTAATGCAAGCACAACATAATCAAGATAGACATCCGTGCTATTCCTGCATTAACTTGGGAGTTAAACAAAAGGTACCAAATCTCACGAGCGAAGAAGGCTTCCCGTTGAACAAGGGAAGGATCTACATTTCGGAGACCAGCCCCCGCGTGGTGAAGGATGCCTACTTGGCTCAGTTCCAAGCAGATGTATCAACATTTTTGAAGTTCCGCAGTGAAGAGATGGTCGATAACGGTCGCCTCGTGTTGGTACTTCACGGGAGGAAAGATAAGGACTTCGCGAGCCTAAACAGCTACATCATTTGGGAAAAACTTGGAGAGGCAATTGCTGATTTGGTTTCAGAGGTAAATTATCTTAATCAGCTTACACTCTCACATTGAAAGACATGGATATGAAAGTATCAATGAATTCTATGCACAAATTAGATCGATATTGGTGTTTTCGTACATGATTAGTACATACCAATACTTGGCAAAACTAGAGTTCATGTTTTGAGTACGAAACTTTCATGATGTCCATTGCAAGGACAATGTGTTGCCCGAGACACAGTAACATGCCTTGCAAAGGAAATTTACTTCTCAATATGAAGCTCTAAAATCCGAGTTTCCATTGGTGAGAATAAGTTCGTTGCAGTTGTCATGACAAATCTTTCCATGTGGTACGAGATTAATGGTGTTTGAATAAAAAGAAATTCTATTTTAATGTATATTAGACTCGTGCTAAATCAAGGTGTGCATCATGGCAGAACGATTTTCACTTTCACGCTTCAATCTTTTCTTCTTTGAACCTTATTTTAGGGGTTCGTTGAGGAAGAGAAACTAGACACTTTAAACGTGCCGTATTACACGGCATCTTTAGAAGAAATTCGAGGCATAGTCAATGAAGAAGGGTCCTTCCAGATCGAACATATGGAGATAATCGAAATCGATGTTGGGGGAACCTCGCTGGACAAGGATCCTCATAGCAAAGGAAGAAAGCTGGCTAAACGTGCCAGATCTTTCACCGGTTCCATAATCTCGCACCATCTTGGCGAGGAAATCATGGATAAGCTCTATGGCGAAAAGCTTCCCATCTTCATTGGTGATGATTTGGCTAAGGGTAGAAAGAAGGGAGTTAGCATAATTGCTGTGCCCAAAAAGCACGTCCCATGACTCAGATTAAGTGTTCGTCTCCGTTATTAAATGTTATTTGAAAGGATTCCTTGTTTGTTAGGGTGTGGTGATCTTTGATTCTATTAGACTGAGTCTATTAAGGTGCTTATGACTTATGAGTAATAAAGACTCTTTTAAGCTTATGATAAGAGAAGAGCACAATCTGGTCTGGTTTCAGGACATGATGGTCCGGTTCCCGGTTGCAAAGAATAGGGAACCGATCCCACCAGTCCGATTCTCAATTCCTGGGTGGGAACCGGACCGTTCCGGAACCGATTGCCCCTAATGATTAGGATTCAATGCATGTTTTTGTCCATCTTAGTAAACTTCATGCATGGTTATTCATGCTTTAGGCATCATATATAGGGCATGCATAGAGCATAGCATTGCATCTTCATCTTTTGATTCACAGTCCGCAAAGTCTTAGGACTCAATAACGAGGCTTTACTTAATCTTGCTCGATGCACTCCAATTTTTCCTTGTGATTTATTGACTGTTTTGATTATTGGGTGTTATCTCTATTGCTTCGCACCATGTATGACCATTTTCACATGTTAGTGACCTAAGATAATGGAATTGATGAAGATTGCGTGCGAATTTTTTTTTTTTTTATAGAGACAAGGTATCGAAATGGAGTTAAAATAATCTAGCGTAATCAACTTCCTATATCTCAGGTTCGCCGCATCTTACTTTAATTTCTAACCGATCTGTAATTCGTTAGTGGGCGACTCCAAAATCACTCAAATCAATCAATTGAATCAAGAAACAAAGTGCCAACTGCTAGGGCTTGGAGGTCCCAAGCTAGGTGAAGGCGCCACCTAGCAAGAAGGACCGTATGCCCGCTTAGTAATCCACCTGCTTTCTCTGGGTGGTTTACCTTGGAAAGGCGGCAACAGAGCCAATCACGGAATTTATGATATCTATGTTTTCCCCCACGTACAACATTTGGTCATTCACCACGTGTCGTTTCTAATGTGTGAAATTCCACTGACGGGGGAAGCTGAGGACCTAATCGTGATACTTTTTTTAAAGTCTAATTTCTCAATTAATCAAAATAAAGCCTAAGTCCTCAATTATCTCCAATGGGCGTATGTGTTCAATTTTAGTAACTAAACCCAAATTTTACCCGATGTATATGCGCGAGGTTAATGAAGCCAAAGAAGGACGTCTTTGATATAAAAAGAAATCATGTAATCGAAGCAGGCCAAGACCCACCAACCTGTCTTGTAGCATTATTATCTATGGAGAACCCCTACCATAAAAGACAACAGAAAATGGAACGATAACGACAGGAATCCATAACAAAAGGAAGAAAATCCTGAGTTTAGTGGGAGGAGGAGTAAAATAGCATTCTCAATTATGAAAGATAGCCTACCGTTCTTCTCCTTTCCGGAATGGAAATGGCAGAAACATATTCTAGCAGTGACGGTACAGAATCAGTGGGACTGGGAGAGGGTGGACTTTCTATTATCAAGAGTTCAGTGATCAAATCTTCGACATGGACGGGAAAGAAGTTCTCTTCATGAGCAAAGGAGATGGAGAACATAGCTACGCTCAGACCTCCACCTTTACGGTTTGTTTCTTTCACTTGAACTCTCCTATCAGGTTCTTTATGTTTTTGGTAATTTTTTTCACTCTTTTGGTCAAGTCGATTTGATTTCCAGAGTAATAGGCAGGATCAATCGCCATGGCTCGATTTTTATTTCCTAGTCAATTAGGCAATGGTTGAATTTTCTGGATAAATTAGACCTCGTTTCTTGCATTACAGCAAAAAGTTGCGTCTTTGGCCAAGCCCACGATAGCGAGTACAGTTGATTCTTTACTTGAAGAAGGTTTCTTCCTGTGCGAGCTTCTAAACGTGGCTGATTTAGGCTGTGCTCTGGGTCCTAGCACGGAAACTTTCATGTCGACCGTTATAGAGAGTGTGCAGAAAAAGTGTGCACACTCGAACTGCTCGATGCCCGAATTCCAACTTTATCTGGATGATCTTCTTGGGAATGATTTCAATACATTGTTCAAAAGCTTGTCCAACTTCTCGCAAAACTATGAAAGCTTATCGTGCTGTATAATGGGAGCTCCAGGTTCTTTCCATAGAAGGCTCTTCCCTAGAAACTGCTTGCACCTCGCAAATTCCTCCTATGGCGTCCATTGGCTATCTCAGGTAAATCTGATGGTGTATATCTGTGTAGTGCGAATGATTGTTGCGATGATTATTATTGGGAGAGATACATGTAAGGTTGCAATATTTTATAGATCATGTGTTAGGTCAACTGAGAATATCTAGTTGTTTAGAGTACAAGATGACTTAGGCCCAAATCTCTCCATATCATATCATCTCATTCAAATTTAACTGATGCATACTCAACATCTGATTAATAAATTCTGAGATGACATAACATGTGAAGGACAATATAATGAGAGATAAATAGTAGTCAAATTATTCGACAGATCATGTCAATTATTGATATATAAGCTTGGATAGTTTTCAAGTAGACGGACTTAGGTTCGAATTTCGCCATTATCTCATTCAACTGTGCATAAATTCCCAAATGAGAGCTGTATGCAAGCACATCATAATCACGATAAAAGTCCATATTAATCCTGCACTTATTTGGAACTTAAGCAAATGAAAGGTACCAAATCTCATGAGCGAAGAAGGCTTCCCGTTGAACAAGGGAAGGATCTACATTTCTAAGACCAACCCCAGCGTGGCAAAGGAGGCCTACTTGGCTCAGTTCCGAGCAGATTTCTCGACATTTTGGAAGTGCCGTGGTGAAGAGATGGTCGATAACGGTCGCCTCGTGTTGATACTTAATGGGAGGGAAGATAAGGACTCTGCGAGCACAGACGGCTACTTCTTTTGGGAAAAACTTGGAGAGGCAATTGCTGATTTGGTTTCAGAGGGAGTTTATCTTAAATCAGCTTTTCAACTTTCATACGCTCTCCCATGGAAAGAGATGGATATTAAACTATTGATGGATTCTAATACTGGACAAAGCTAGAGTTAATGTTTTGAGTACGAAACTTTCATCATGTCCATTGCAAGGATAAAGTTTTGCCCAGACATATTGACAAGCCTTCCAAAGGAATTCATTAATAATTATAAATCAGTCTTTTATTAATTCGCCTAAAACATCTCAACATTAGACTTCCAAATCCGTGATTTTCATGGGTAGAATATGTTAGTTGTAGACTTTTTGTTCTCATCTTCGTTTGAACCTTGTTTTAGGGGTTTGTCAAGGAAGACAAACTAGACACCTTAAACGTGCCGTATCACACGGCATCTTCAGAGGAAGTTCGAAGCATAGTCGATGAAGAAGGGTCCTTCGAGATCGAATATCTGGAGATAATGGGGATCGATAGAACCTTGCCGGACGAGGATCCTCATAGCAGAGGAAGGAAGATGGCTAAAGATGCCAGATCGTTCACCGGTTCCATAATCTCGTACCATCTTGGCGAGGGCATCATGGACAAGCTCTATGGCGAAAAGCTTCCCATTATCATAGGTGATGATTTGGCTAAGGGAAGAAGGAAGGGAATTAGCTTAGTTCTTGTGCTCAAAAAGCATGTCCCATGACTCATTAAGTGTTCATCTCCATTATGAAGTGTTATTTGAAAGGATTCCTTCTTTGTTAAAATATTTAGGACTAAATTGGTCAAATTAAAAAGTTTAGGACAAAATTGACACAAGTATAATAGGTTTAAGACTTTTTTGGTAATTTTCCCTACTTTTTTTGTCTTCATATAGTGATGGTGTTGGGACGCCAAACCTAAGTGAGCATCACTGAAAGGCAAAGCCATAGGTATAGATGGAGATCTCGACATGTGCTCATCACAATTGATAATATGTGATTCGATAATCGGCCGCTAATCTTTTGCTTGGATGAAGTCATAGATTTGTTCTTAAATGACAAGCGTGTGCTTATCTTTGCCGACCATTCTCTGATGATATATCTTGATTTCTAAATTTTGGTTTGTTCTGTAAATTTATGGGCTTTTTTGTTGTGGTGATTACTGGAATTCCTTGTGAATCCTTTAATGTATCATTTTGGTATTGAATGGAAATTTCCCTAGACCAAAACAAGATTTGGTTTGGGGTCTCTTAATATTCTTATGCGGTCAAGCCAATATCTGCCACAGAGAAAATCATAGTAACTTGTGGCCTTCATTTCTTCACATCCCTTTCCATCTCTCTCTCTCCACTGAAGATCATGGGAAAGGCTAAGCGAAAATCATGAGAGCCAATCAATCCCTCCCCCCCCAATCGAGCCAATCAAAGATAGCCTACTCTTCTTCTCCTTTCCTGAAATGGAAGTGTCAGTGGTGCATATCCTCAAGCGGTGACAGTGCAGAATCAGCGGGAGAAACTGATCAAATCTTAGCCATGGACGTGAAAGATGTTCTGTTCATGAGCAAAGGAGACGGAGAACATAGCTACGCTCAGACCTCCACCTACACGGTTTGTTTCATTCAATTAACACCCCCCTTTTCAGATGAACAGGCATGATCAATCGCCAATCGTGATTCATGGAATATAATTCCTTTTTTGATAATATTAAAAGTTGCGGTTCAATGTTGTCGCTAAACTACGGGATTGGGTTGGTTTATAAGAATGAATTCGTTTCTTGCAGTACAGCAAAAGGTTGCGTCTGTAACGAAGCCCACGATAGCGAGTACAGTTGATTCTCTACTTGAGGAAGGTTTCTTCCCGTGCAAGCTTCTAAATGTGGCCGATTTAGGCTGTGCTTCGGGTCCTAGCGTGGTGACTTTCATGTCGACCGTTATAGAGAGTGTACAGAAGAAGTGTGCGCACTCGAATTGCCCGCTGCCTGAATTGCAGTTTTATCTGAACGATCTTCCCGGGAATGAATCTTCCCGGGAATGATTTCAACACGTTGTTCAAAAGCTTGTCGAACTTCTCGCAAAGCTACGAAAGCTTGTCATGCTTTATAATGGGAGCTCCGGGTTCTTTCCATGGAAGGCTCTTCCCTGGAAACTGCTTGCATTTCGCTCATTCTTCCTATAGCGTCCATTGGCTATCTCAGGTAAATCTGATTGTATGTATGTGTGTGGTGCAAGTGATTGTTGCGATGATTATTATTGCGAAAGATACATGTATGGTTGGAATATTTTATAGATCATGTGGTACGTCAATTGATAATATCTAGTTGTTTCGAGTACAAGATGACTTAGGCCCAAATCTCTCCTCGTCTCATTCAAATTTAACTGATGCATAGTCGACATCTGCTTGATTAATTCTTGGACTACATAACATGTGAAGGACAATATCATGAGAGATAAATAGCTGTCAAACTATTCGACCGATCATGTCAATTATGGATATATAAATTAAGCTCGGACAATTTTCTAGTAGACGGACTTAGGTTCGTATTTCGCTGTTATCTCGTTCAACTTATGCATAACTGCCCAATATAGAGCTGTAATGCAAGCACAGCATAGTCACCATGGAAGTGCATGTTAATCCGGCACTAATTTGGAACTCAAGCAAATGAAAGGTACCGAATCTCACAAGCGAAGAAGGCTCCCCGTTGAATAAGGGAAGGATCTACATTTCTAAGACCAGCCCCAGCGTGGTGAAGGAGGCCTACTTGGCTCAGTTCCGAGCAGATTTCTTGACATTTTTGAAATGCCGTGGTGAAGAGATGGTCGATAACGGTCGCCTCGTGTTGATACTTAACGGGAGGGAAGATAAGGACTTTGCGAGCCTAGACGGCTACTTCATTTGGGAAAAACTTGGGGAGGCAATTGCAGGTTTGGTTTCAGAGGTAAGTTACCTTAAATCAGCTTTTCAACTTTCATACGCTCTCCCATGGAAAGAGATGGATATTAAGCTATCGATGGATGATATGCGCAAATTAGATAGATATTGGAGTTTTAATATGTGATTGGTACATATTAATACAGGACACGGCTAGAGTTAAATGTTTTGTGTACGAAACCTTCATCATGTTAATTGCAAGGATAAAGTGTTGTCTTGACACTTTGCGATCTTATTTTCGCTTGAACCTCGTTTTAGGGGTTCGTCGAGGAAGAGAAACTAGACACCTTAAACGTTCCGTATTACACGGCATCTTCAGAGGAAGTTCGAGGCATAGTCAATGAAGAAGGGTCCTTCGACATCGAACATCTGGAGATATTGGAGATCGATAGAGGCTCGCCGGACGAGGATCCTCATAGCAGAGGAAGGAAGATGGCTAAACATGCCAGATCCTTCACCGGTGCCATAGTCTCGCACCATCTTGGCGAGGAGATCATGGATGAGCTCTATGGCAAAAGGCTTCCCGTTATCATAGCTGATGATTTGGCTAAGGAAAGGAGGAAGGGAGTTAGCATAATTGTTGTGCTCAAAAAGCTTGTCCCATGACTCAATAAGAGCGCGCATGGTAACATTTCTGTTTCTCTATTTTTCTGTTTCCAGGAATAGGTTTAGAACAGAAATCCGTTTGGAAACGCAATTTCATTTTTCTATTTCTGGAACAAATTTCTATTTCAGAAATAGGTTTGGAATAGAAATCAGAAGTAAAAAAAATTTACTTTTCTATTTCTGGAACAGAAATGAGAAATAAAAACTTTTCTTATCGCTCGCCCTCGATACTAGAAATCTTATCGCCGGCCATCCCCTTGACACTCGCTATTGCCGTCGGCCACCTCCCGCCACCGCCGGCTGCCTCTTGCCGTCGGCCGCCTCCCACCGTCGGGCGCCTACCGCCGGTGTCCTTCGCCAACTGCCTCCTCCCACCACCATCTTCCGCCATTCGTCGCTGCGCAATGCCAGCCATAACCCGCCCACCGCCGCCTCCCGCGTCCTTCGCCGCCACCTGCTAGCTGGCTCTCGCCGCCGTCCACCATCGGCCGCCTCTTGCCGCCAACCACCATCCTCTGCCGCCCGACGCCGGCCGCCACCCACCACCGGTCGTCGTCCTCCGCCGCCGGCTGCCGTGCTCCACCGCCCGACGCCGGTTGCCACCCAGCGCCAGCCGCCTCCCACCGAAAGTCGCCCCCCGGGTGGCCGGCGGCCACCCATCACCGATCGCCATCCTCCGCCGCCAGCCGTCGTGCTCCACTGCCCGACGCCGGCCTCCGTGCTCCACCACCTGACATCGGCCACCTCCCACCGCCGGCCACCGTCCTCCGCCGGCCGCCCGGAACGGAGAAATTTTGTGTCGTTATCAAACGAATTTCTATTTCAGAAACAGAAATTTTGTGTCGTTATCAAAGACGCATTTTTGCTCAGAAATTCGTCCATGAAATAGAAATAGAAAATTCTATTTTTGGCCAGAAATTGATTTCTGAAACAGAAATGGTACCGTGCGCGCCCTAAGTGTTCATCTCCATTACCAGAGACGATGACAATTTTCGTGAATTCATTCTTAAGTGTGTGTTTGTTTTGCTGAAAATTTCATGATAAAGGAAAATATTTTCCATGGAAATTCGTTTCATTTGTTAGGTGATTTAGGGAAAATGATTTCCTTCTTACTAAAAAGGAAGTCATTTGCCCCTAATCTAAGCTTGTTGTTTACAGTCCATGAAAAGCGTTTTATATAAATCGATTAGTTTTCCGTCATCCGAACACCAGAAAGTCAGAAGTTTCCCGAAAATAGTTTTCTTTCAAACAAACGGATCCTAAGTGTTGTTGGAAATGATTTCTCTTTGTTAGGGTGTATTGATCTTTGATTGTATTACGTTGAGTTTATTAAGGTGCTTATGACCTATGAGTAATGAAGAGTCGTTTAAGCTAATGATAGGAGAAAGAGCCCAACAAGGAGAAATATCAAGAGATTCATTTTTGCATTACTACATACTTACGATTGTTTCCAGGTATCAGCTTATCTCATAGACATAGTAAAAAATAAACCGTCATCGAAAGGAACAAATTACTGGCACTTGATCTAGCACGGAATCAAAATATTGTGCTCTTACTGATACGAAATTGGAAATTTCAGTGGTTGCATGATAGTGACTAGAAGACATGGGAGTCAGTGGTTAACAAAGTAGATTTTTATAATATCAAAAGCCTGATGGAGTAGCTGATTCCAGACGCGGGGCATGGATGTTTTCCAAATATTTATTGATCTATCCAAATCGCACATTGATGTTTTCTACGAGCACAATGAGCATATTGTAATAAATTAATATTTTATACAATATCACGTTTTTCATGGCACTGAGTAACTATTATTATCTACATATTGACCCCGTTATTCTTGCAAATCACTTATATGGTGTAAGGAGAGAGAACAAAAAATGAGTAGGATATATTAAACTGCAACCTATTGAAAAAAGGCACGCTTAGATATAGATACACAGATTGCATTTTCTTAATCATCTGGTGAATCCAATATCTTCCAAAAACAAAAGTAATAATAATCTGTGGCCTTGGTTTAAAAAAAGAACGAAAGAAAAAAGAAAATGCCGTCATTTTCAACCTCTCTCTCTCTCTCCGACCTCATGATCGTGGAAAAATCTATGCAAAATGACATGAGAGACAATCATGGAATTGAAGATATCAATGTTTCTCCCCCCATTTCTCATAACTTTTCCCCAATCGAGCTGTCGATAGAATTCAAGCGTCGGAAATCTGACATGGTTCCCCCATACAACGTTTGGTCATCTAGCGCGCGTGTCAATTTTTACGTTTGAAATTTCACTGGCAGGAAGCGCGAGATTCTAATTGCGAACTCTACTGAAGTCTTGAGTTCTCAATCGACCAAAATAACACCTAAGCCCTCAACTATAACCAATGGGCAAATATTTTTAATATAAGTCGCTATCCCAAGCTTCATCGAAATAATTTATGCTAAAAGAAAGAAATCATATAATTGAGGTAGACCAAGACAAAACAACCCTGTCTTGGACAACGATTCATCGTTGAAGACAGTGGACACACGAACCCCCATTAACCAGCAGCAAGGAAACCTCAGTGATCAGATCTTCGCCATGGACGTGAAAGAAGTTCTCTTCATGAGCAGAGGAGACGGAGAAGACAGCTATGCTCAGACGTCAACCTACCCGGTCTGTTTAGTTTGATTCATACCCCCCTTTCATCTTCCATTTTCTTTCTATTTCTACTCTTTTTTGTTGCACGCGGCCTGCTATGGAGGACATAGCTAGGGAAACTTTAGGTGAAGTGGATTTACCAGAGTAATAGGCGGGATCAATCGCCAATCGTGATTCCAGGACTATGATTTTGTTTTGGCATATCAGAAGTTGTGGTTCAATGTTTTCTCTAAACTACGAGGTCGGGTTGGTTCATGAGAATGAATTCAATTCTTGCATTACAGCAAAAGATTGCGTCCCTGGCCAAGCCCACGGTAGCGAGTGCGGTCGCTTCTCTACTCGAGGAAGGTTTCTTCCCATGCGAGCTTCTGAGCGTGGCTGATTTAGGCTGTGCTTTGGGTCCTAGCACGGTGACTTTCATGTCGACCGTTCTAGAGAGTGTGCAGAAGAAGTGTGCGCACTTGAACTGCCCATCGCCAGAACTTCAATTTTATCTTAATGATCTTCCCGGGAATGATTTCAACACGTTGTTCAAAAGCTTGTCGAACTTCTCGCAAAACTACAGAAGCTTATCGTGCTTCATAATGGGGGCTCCCGGTACTTTCCATGGAAGGCTCTTCCCTAGAAACTGCTTGCACCTCGCTCATTCCTCCTATAGTGTCCATTGGCTATCTCAGGTAAGTTTGATTGTATGTGTGTGTTGTGCGAATGATTGTTGTGACGATTGTTATCGTGAGAGATACGTGAAAGGTTGAAATATTTTATAGGTCATGTGTTAGGTCAATTGATACAATTTAGTTGTTATCTCGCCGTTATTGCAGTATTCAAGTAGATGGACTTAGGTTCGAATGTCGCTGTTATCTCGTTCAACTCATGCATACATAGCTAAAACAGAGCTATAATGCGAGCACAGCATAATCAAGATTGATGTCCATGTTAATCTCGCATTAATTTGGAACTTAAGCAACTGAAAGGTACCCAATCTCACGAGCGAAGAAGGCTTCCCGTTGAATAAGGGAAGAATCTACATCTCAGAGACCAGCCCCGGCGTGGTGAAGGAGGCCTACTTGGATCAATTCCGGGCAGATTTCACGACATTTTTGAAGTTCCGCAGCGAAGAGATGGTCGACAACGGTCGCCTCTTGTTGGTACTTAACGGGAGGAAAGATAAGGACTTTGCGGGCATAAACAGCCACTACATTATGGAAAAACTCGGAGAAGCGATTGCTGATTTGGTTTCGGAGGTAAGTTAATTTTTTTATCAGCTTTTCAACTTTCATACACTCTACACGTTACAAGACATGGATATGAAGGTATTGATGCATTCTGCGCGCAAATTAGATAGATATCGGGGTTTTAATATGTGATTAGTACACACCAATACTCGATAAAACTAGAATTCATCTGAACTTTGTTTTAGGGGTTCGTTGAGGAAGAGAAACTTGACACCTTAAATATGCCGCACTACACGGCATCTTCAGAGGAAGTTCGAGGCATAGTTGGCGAAGAAGGGTCCTTCGAGATTGAACATCTAAAGATAATCAAGGTCGATGTCGGAGGAACCATGCCGGACGAGGATCCCCATAGCAGAGGAAGGAAGATGGCTAAAGATGCCAGATCGTTCACCGGTTCCATAATCTCGCACCATCTCGGCGAGGAGATCATGGACAAGCTCTATGGTGAAAAGCTTCCCATCATCCTAGGTGATGATTTGGCTAAAGGTAGAAGGAAAGGAGTTAGCATAATTGTTGTGCTCAAAAAGCTTGTCCCATGACTCGATCTAGTGTTCTTCTCCAATACTATAGACAATGTCAATTTGTGAGAAAGCTTTCCAAGTGTTATTTGAAAGGATTCCTTGTTTGTTAGGGTGCGGTGATCCTTGATTGCATTAGGCTGAGTTTATTAAGGTGCTAATGACTTATGAGTAATAAAGACTAAGCTTATGATAGGAGAAGAGCCCAACAAGGAGAAATATCAAGAGATCCACTTATTGACATTGTCTATAGTTAAGACCCGATATCTAACTCTTCCTGCTCATTTATCAAGTCTAATTTTGAATATAATAGTTAAGCTCGACTAGGGATCTAATAGGGCTACATTATTCATCTCTCTTTCGTGTTTACGGTGAAATGTAAGTGTTTAGGATTAAGAAGGGCCAACTAGGATACCCTGGTGGGGCTATAAAGTAACATGCAAATCTACCAACCCCAGGGTTGGTGGACGATGGGTTGGTGCGTTGAGGGTTTCTTTCAAAGGAATTTGAGATCGTTCATTTGAATCTCACAAATTGCGTGCAAATTGTTCCGAGATAGGGCCACCTGCACATATCAAAGATTTGTAGTTAAGTGTTTCTTGAGGCTTGTAAGGTATTCCATGGATGTGGTAAGGTATTTAACGGGTATCTAGGTAGCCGGATATCAAATAATGAAAAAGAAAAATCTAAAATTTGCTAGAATATGCAATAATAGGGCAATAATTACCATATTTGTCATGTTAAGATGCGCAAGTGTGTTGTGTGAGAAAAGTCCCACATTGGAGAACCGGTATGGCGTGGAATTGTTAATATATCTTAATTGACCCATAACTCATTAGCTAAAGTTTTTGAATGAATGGGTCCAACTGAATTTGGTGTGGATTTTCGGTACTTAGGTGAACATTTTTTATAAGTCATGGCCCTCAAGTGAGCCTTGTTTTTTTATAAGTCATGGCACTCAAGTAGTTGAGAAAAAAGTTATGGCACTCAAATAAACACCGTGCAAAGTTATGTCACTTGTGGTGTCCTTATCCGAGGCTCAGATTTGGGCTCCTTTTTAGTAATCTTATCGAGTGAATGTATCAAATATTTGTTGCGTGCTCCCAATAGGTTTGTCATTGTACTTCAATGTTTTCTCCATATTTACTTATATCTCGTCCATCGAGCCTTATGCCGAGTTACAGCACGTCGACAGGAGGAAGTCGAGGAAATGGTTCACGGGGAGGTGTCCTTGGAAATAGAACATATGGAGATGGTCGAAATCGATCTCGAAGGGACTTCACCCGATGACGAGATTGAGGGTCCTCACACTAGTCAGAGGAACAAAGGTAGCTCAAAAGGCCATATCTTTCCCTAGAGCCCATGGTGAGAAGCTTTCTCATTTGATACGACACGATATGGCATCTTTATCGCTCTGAAAAATGTATGATTCGATCCGTTTGTTGACTTTGTTTCCATTTCGTAAGCAAATGTCAAGCCTTTGTTAGATATAGATTGTGTCTCTCTACTAGAGAAATGACGTCTTTATGCAAGACTTTCGAAGCGAAAACTGATCCTGAATTCCCTAGCCAAAACCCCAAAATTCGAAAACTTAGTTTAGGATTGACCAAATTAATTAGGTAGTCCACAATACAACTAATTATAGGTCCGCAATGATCGACGATTCGTCGTTCTATAGCACTTTTCCTCTCTCTACTGTTGAATTTTTACACTGAGGCCCAGCGATTAGGAAAATAACAAGAGAGTTTGCTACAATCAATCACTCATTAAGATATGGTACTTTATTAGGTTGCGTCTCAATTATGAATAGTGATGAGTTGAAAGATAAGTATTTAAGAGATACTAATGACCTTAAGAATCTTGTACCCTTCCATCATTAGTGATGCACATGGAATTGCACACTTTTGAACTTGAACAGGTCCTTAAAAGGCTCAAGGAAAGAGAAGAGAAAGAACTCTCCAATGTAGTGGAGGGATCTCTCTGTAAGTTCTCTCCATATTCCTTTTCTCACCCAAGAAGAAAAATATTGGGAGGGAACTTAGAGGCCTGTGGATGAAGAATGTAGACTTCACATTAATTTCAGTTGGCTACCGCCGAGTAGGCAGGTATAGTAGCCTCCCATGTTTAGAGTGACACTGGAGAGTTTCAGCTCCTACAGGGCAAGCCTGTCACATAATGTCTATGTAATTGACATGCCTGCCACGTACCCTTGGTTACATGGACATTGTGTGAATTATGAATAATGACCTTAAGAATCTTGTACTCTTCCATCATTAGTGATGCACAGGGAATTGCACACTTTACTCCGAAAAATGTGATCCCTCGATCTCTTAATATTCTTAATTATCCGGTCAAGCCAATATCTTCCAAAGAGACAAATCATAATAACTTGCGGCCTTGATCTTCACATCCCTTGCAAAATCTCTCTCTCTCTCTCTCTCTCTCTCTCTCTCTCTCTCTCTCTCTCTCTCTCTCTCTCAAGATCATGAAAAAGTCTAGGAAAATATCACATGAGAGCCAACCAAAGAATGCAGCCGCCTGTTAAATTCAAGAGTCGGAAATTTGACGTGCAACTTTTTGTCACTTGCCATGTGCCGTTTATGATAATTGAAATTCCACGGGCAGGGAGGCCAAAATCTAATTGTTTGTTTCTTAAATCTTAAATTTTCAATTGATCGAAACAATACCGAATTCCTCAATCATGACCAATGGACAAATATTTTCAATCTAAGTAGAGTAACTAACCCAAACTTTAGTCAGCGTTCATGCACATGAATATCGAAGTATTTCATGAATTCAAAGTTTACCGTCGAATAAGGACGCGTTTAATATAAAAGAAAATAAATTACATAATTGAAGCGGACCGAGCCAAAAGAACCGGTACCACTATCATAAAGGACAACAACACTGGAACGATTAGGATAGGAATCGAAACAAAAGAAAAAAAATTCGGAAACGAGTGGGAGAAAGAATGCCAAGTGTTCTTGATCTTCAAAGATAGCCTAACTCTTCTTCTCCCTTCCTGAAACGAAAGTGTCGATCGGGCGTATCCTCAAGCGGTAACAAGTGCAGAATCAGCAGGTGAGGGTGGATTTACAGCTATCAAGAACTCAGTGATCAAAATCTTCGCCATGGACGTGAAACAAGTTCTCTTCATGAGCAAAGGAGACGGAGAACATAGCTACGCTCAGACCTCCACCTACACGGTTTGTTTCTTTCGATCAATACCCCCTTTCAGAGAAACAGGCATGATCAATCGCCATTTGTGATTCGTGGAATATGATTTCCTTTTCCTGATAATATTATAAGTTGTCGTTCGATGTTTGCTCTAAACTACACGGGATCGGGTTGGTTTATAAGAATGAATTTGATTCTTGCATTACAGCAAAAGGTTGCGTCTCTAACGAAGCCTGCAATAGCGAGCACGGTTGATTCTCTACTCGAGGAAGGTTTCTTCCCATGCGAGCTTCTTAATGTGGCCGATTTAGGCTGTGCTTCGGGTCCTAGCGTGGTAACTTTCATGTCTACCGTTATAGAGAGCGTACAGGAGAAGTGTGCACGCTCGAGCTGCCCGCCTCCTGAATTCCAATTTTATCTTAACGATCTTCCCGGGAACGATTTCAACACATTGTTCAACAGCTTGTCGAACTTCTCGCGAAGCTATGAAAGCTTGTCGTGCTTTATAATGGGAGCTCCGGGTTCTTTCCACGGAAGGCTCTTCCCTAGAAACTGTGTGCACCTCGCTCATTCCTCCTATAGCGTTCATTGGCTATCTCAGGTAAATCTGACTTCATATATATGTTTGTGCTTCAAATGATTGTTGTGACGAGTATCATTGTGAGAGATACATGTCAGGTCGACACACCTTATATGTCATGTATTAGGTCAACTGATAATGTTTCAAATCTCGCCAATATGCCGTTCGACTCGTGCATAATTACATACTCAAGTTAGAGCAGTAATGCAAGCACAGCATAACCACGATGGATGTCCTTGTTAATCCTGCATTAACTTGGAAGTTTGAGCAAATGAAAGGCACCGAGTCTCACGAGCGAAGAAGGCTTCCCGTTGAACAAGGGAAGGATCTTCATTTCGAAGAACAGCCCCGACCTGGTGAAGGAGGCCTACTTAGCTCAGTTCCGAGCGGATTTATCGGCATTTTTGAAGTCCCGCTGCGAAGAGATGGTCGATAACGGTCGCCTCGTGTTGGTACTTCACGGGAGGAAAGATAAGGAATTTGCGAGCCTAGACAGCCTTGACATGTGGGGAAAACTTGGCGAGGCAATTGCTGATTTGGTTTCAGAGGTAAGTTGATTTTTTATCAGCTTTTCAATTTTCATACACTCTAAACGTTACAAGACATGGATATGAAAGTATTGATGCATTCTGTGCGCAAATTAGATAGATATCGGGGTTTTAATATGTGATTAGTACATACCAATACTCGACAAAACTAGAATTAATGTTTTGAGCACGAAACTTCCATTATGTCTATTGCAAGGATTAAGTGTTGCCCAGACCCGTTTTGCAAAGGAAATTTATTTATTATTTCGAGCTAAGTGTCAACACCATCAACATCAGACTCTTGAATCCGTCTTTTCCATTGGTGAGAGTAGGTGAGTTGTTGTTGTCAAGACCAAATCTTTCCGTATGTTATAAGATTAATGGTGCTTCAATTAAAAAAAATGCTGGTTCGATGTATGTTGGACTTATGCTAGATCAAGATGTACGTCATAGTGAAACGATTTTCACTTTCGCGTTTCAATCTATTCATCGTTCGAACCTTGTTTTAGGGGTTCATCACGGAAGAGAAGCTAGACGCCTTAAACGTGCCGTACTACACGGCATCTTCAGAGGAAGTTCAAGGCATAGTCGATGAAGAAGGGTCCTTCCGGATCGAACATATGGAGATGATCGAGGTCGATGCCGGAGGAACCACGCCAGACAAGGATCCTCATAGCAGAGGAAGGAAGATGGCTAGACATGCCAGATCCTACACCGGTTCCATAATCTCGCACCATCTCGGCGAGGAGATCATGGACAAGCTCTATGGCGAAAAGCTTCCCATCATCCTAGGTGATGATTTGGCTAAGGAAAGCAGGAGGATGGGAGTCAGCATAATTGTTGTGCTCAAAAAGCATGTCCCATTGACTCAATAATTGATCGTCTTACATTACTCGAGACAATGACAATTTCTGCGAAAGCTTTCCAAGTGTCATCTAAAAGGATTCCCTTTTGATAGTGTGTGGTGATCTTTGATTGCATTAGGCTTAGTTTCTCGAGGTGCTTATGACTTTAACAAGTAATAAAGACTCTTTTAAAGCTTACGATATGAGAAGAGCCCAATGAGGCGAAATATGGAGAGATCCATTTTATTTTCTTACTAATTACTGTTAACACGTATACAAGGGAGGGAGGGCTCGGGGGGTTTGATCGGGGTTGCAGCCCTGTCGTTGTGAGGTGTTCGGTCAGTTCATCGTTGGCATGACAAGCCACGGCCGGGGGCCTTTCGAGCCCCCCAAAGTGCAACTAAAGGGGAGTTGGACAAGTTATATATTCGCTCTTCGGCCGAAACCAACTAATTAGACTTGTTCGGACACAAACATTGGTTCGCATTTTGTTAATTTTGGGTTAGACCTGAACAAGAACTTTAAGATCCCTGCGCATAGATCACGTCTAGTTCCAATATCATAGTCATTATTAAGCCAAAACGTTGTACGTTTACTACCTTCTGTCACACTCGAGAGCAGCGAGCACCATGTTTTGTTGCAGTAACACAGGCTCAGGCTGAGACGGCGAATATACGAGAGAAGATGCCGTGAAAAAAAAGCAAAGTGGGGAAGTAGATAAACATGTCGACCATTTGATCTGTACATTATTACATTTCACATCACAGAAGCCAACAAAATCAACAGAATGGGAATCGATCATAGGTGCTTGAAGACGACTTGGTGGAGACGAGAATATCTTCTTTCCTTCCTTTTTCCCTCATTTTTCTTCACTTATTTCGATTTGACAGATCACCACCATGATAGACACATAATACAGACACCAAGCATCTCCCACTGCTTCAGATTGGCCCCCTTCCCAGCAGGTCGTGGGGCCAACCCTTGAGCTAAAGTTGATAGCAAAAGAGCCTTTGAGAAAGGATTCTTGAAAATTACACAATCTTTAAAACACACGCCAGACACACACAGGCAAAAACCAAAAGAAGTAGGACCCGCCGCCAACTTTTATCATCTGAGGTTGTCTTGACGCCGGAAGCAACGGCCAGGATTCGGGCATCACCTGGACTTGAAGGGGATGGCCCTGATCACCACCTGATGGTAGAGGGCAGCGAGCGCTGCGCCGATGAATGGGCCCACCCAGAAAATCCACTGCACCCAAAACAACATGCCATTGTTAGTAACCAAGGAAAGAAAGAGGAGGAGGGGACTTGGTGTTGTAGCTCGAGGAAACTTCGAGGAAAAGCGCAGGCGCGCGGCTGCGCGTGAGACTCACGTGATCGTCCCAGCCTCGGTCTTTGTTGAAGATGATGGCCGCGCCGAGGCTCCTGGCCGGGTTGATGCCGGTCCCGGTGATGGGGATCGTGGCCAAGTGCACCAAGAACACCGCGAACCCGATGGGCAGCGGAGCCAGTATCTACATACATGGATGCCCAAACACAATAATCCAAACATCATGTTTCCGCGGCTTGATAATACTAGAAGGGAATATGTGTTTGCAAAAGCTTAATTCAACACACTCCATGCAAAGTTCTCAGGAAGGAGAGGAAGCTTACAGGGACGTGAGAGTCCCTGGCGCTGCGTTTAGCGTCGGTGGCGGAGAAGACGGTGTACACGAGCAAGAAAGTTCCGACGATCTCAGCGCCGAGGCCGTCGCCTTTGGTGTAGCCAGGGGCGACGAAATTGGCGCCGCCGTTGAACCTCTCGTACGTGCTAGCCTTTTCGAACCCTTTCACCACGCCGGCCCCGCATATCGCACCCAGACACTGCATCACCATGTAGAATATCGCCCTCGTCAAGGACAGCTTCCTCGCCAGAAACAGGCCGAACGTCACCGCCGGGTTTATGTGACCACCTAGATGTCCCAAAAACAGCCAAACATCATCACTGACAACATATATACCATAGGAACAAGCAGTATACTATATTTGAATTGAACTAACCCTTGATAAACCTAGCAAGTGATAACAGACTTTAGTTCCAAAACTACAAGGTACTTGCTTGATCATATAAGGTGAATATTTTGTAAAACGAAAGACAGAATAAAGGGAAAAGTTCATAGGATCCTGCTTAGTTACCTGAGATACCGGCGGTACAATAGACGAGAGCGAAGATCATGCCTCCGAACGCCCACGCGATGCCTTGGATTCCGACCGTCGTGCACTTGGAATTGGCTTTCACCACGCCCATCACGGTCAAGATGGTGATGTACAGGAACAGGAACGTGGCCATGAACTCGGCGATCCCCGCCCGGTAGAAGGACCACGACGTCAGCTCCGACGGCTCGAAGAGCGGCGCAGGCGGGGGCTCGGCGTAGTCCCGCCCATCCTGGCTCTGGGCCGCCGTCCCGATCGGCTGCCTCTCCGGGAACTTGGTGGCCCCCTCCCTAACGTCCTCTTCCTTCCCCTCCATGCCCCCTCTCTCGCTGGTCTCCGCGGTTTCGAAGTCTCCGGTCCCGGTTCGCGACTGGATCTTAACTGGCCGTTCGATCGAGCTCCGATGAGGAATGGAGAGTGGGTGTGGTTAGGTAATATAGAGTGAGAGCAGTGGAGAGTATTTAGCTGGAGGGAAGGTGGTAGGACCCGAGTGGGGAGATTAGACAAGTGAATTGTATAATCACGTAAGACAACCGACCCATCATTTTAGGGTAGCAATTCATTCGTGTTTTTCTATGCTTTTAGTCTCGGATGGGTTATTAAATTCAAACACGACTTTAGAATACGATGGTGAGTGCGACGTGTCGTACGACTCGAACTTCGCTGGCACAAAGATGTCCACAAGGGTGTTAAGAAATCAATTTCCGTGACGCATGTCCGGTCACCGACCATTTTCTATTATGCAGATAGAAAAAAGGAGCATTGAAATCACACCTTTGAGATGGGGGAAAAAAACACCTTTCAGGAATTGGCTGTGATTGAGAAAGCATGATATTTCGTATTCGATTATTGCTCCATCTAATCTCGGGAGTTAGGTTAAAAAGAGGCGAACTCAAATATGCTACGCAAAAGATGACTCGAAATATCAATTAAATCTGCCTTAGTTCAAATTGCAATCGGCTTGTTATATAACATAAGTAGTAACATACAAACGATATACCAACAACTCTTTTTCCACTAAATGAAATTACCGCGTCACGAAACAATGCGTCTGTCAAGAAATTATCGCGTGGACCTTAGATAAAATCAGTTACAACACCCCTTAATCGCATAATAACTTTTTTCTGCTCAATACGGGATAGTAAAACAAAGAACAAAGGCTTGGAACAGAACTCCATCATTGTCCAGTTGATTAGAAAATCAACAAAACAAGGGATTGTCAAACAAAATGGCCGGAAATAATTAATGGGTATGTAGACACCGCATATGCGCTCGATCATCATCATCAAAACCGCTTAATCAAAATATTAATCGATGACGGCCACTGCTGACAGCCATGCCTTATCTTCTCCCATTATCTTTTCCCTTTCACGGTTGCCTTTTGCATTAATATAATATGCTCCATGATTGTCGCTAGCCACGACCAATGTTATCCACAAGTTCGAAGGGGGTAAAACGATATGCAGCAGTTCCTCTAGCCTCTAGGTAAGGACGGCCTTGGTTGTAGACTTCTTGCAAATAATACTGCTTTTGCTCACCTAATTTGATTAAACTAATACGTATTAGCGGCGATGAGGGCGATCGAAATTAGTTCTAGCCCATGTTAGCGAATCTTCGCACTTCGATTTGCTATATTTTCCTTAATATTTGCGCCAAATTAATGAACCCCATAATTCATAAGTGTTCCACATTCGACACCCGATGCATGGCACATTGCCATAGCCCCCAAATTGCGACCGTGATTGAAATTTCGTGGTTGCAAATAGAAAGCTTAAATGCAGATGAAATTCAAATTCAAATAGAGAGAGAGAGAGAGAGAGAGAGAGAGAGAGAGAGAGAGAGAGAGAGAGAGAGAGAGAGTTCCAAGTTTGTGTGGATCACATGCTTGGTGAGGGAATAAGAATATGGACGGAAGCTACAGGTTGAAAAGGGAAATTGTTTGGTGTCTTTTGCTGTAGACCGCAGTGGAAGTAGGTTAGTGATGGGAACCGCAGCATATTTTTTTAGGTAAACAAGAAGAAGAAGCTGTATTAATTTAAATTTAGTTACGTATGTAGTGGTTAAACCCTGTGAGTCCCTGCGGCCATGAAAAGTTGTTCGAGAGAGTTCGTGATAAGTATTCATTTTGCTTTTTCAAAAAAAATGTCATTTAAGTTTTCGAATCAGGGAAAGAATTGAATATTTATATGTTTTGAAAGATTTCACGTATTCAATATTGAATAAATATAGATATTCGAGGCTATATTGAAAAGGTACCCTCGCTTTATCATTGACCAATTTCCTGCCACGTAATATTGCGCTGCAGTGTTTTTCACTAATTGACATTCTCTTTTAAGTAAATTTTGATTGATTTGTTTGCGTTAAAACACCGCTAAGGAGGATCCGTCTTAATTCTTACTAATACTAGAGAATGAATGATTATGGCCAAGACACTCTTGACGTGCACATGCTAATTTGCAATCTCAACTCTGAAAAGACCTAATTTGCCACGGTCTAATAGACAAAACTCAAGATGAGTGTTCGGGGGTGCACACGGATTTTAGAGAAACGCGAAATTCAGTCCGATTTGAAGTCGAACGACAAAACTAACGATAAGCAATCGGAGGTTTTATGAATAGGAGATCTAACAAAGGTTGAGGAGAGTATGCAGTATTTTTCATGAAAAGAATAAGTGAAATCACTGATCCTTATAGATCATAACATCTGCAGGAACTGTGATTTCCGCGAGAGCTGCTTAATGTGCGTGCATTGCTCTATGTATGCATGAGAACTTCGTTTGTCTATTGGGAGCAGATGTTATGGGCCTGGGTTGTTGAGTCGAAATTGCAATTCGAAGCGAAGGCATCAAACGATGGCCACATGTAGAGTAAGAGCCCGCGACTGTTCTACAAGCATTTGAATGTGAATGCCCTTGCAGAGACATTGAAGAAACGGGCCGTAACTTCGAGCCCAGTTCGTATAGTGCCAGTCCACCCATGTAGGTGCAGAATTCGAACTTGCAGAGGCAAAAAGCCTGGTCGGAAAACGCCTTCGAAGCGGAGGTGATCGATAAGCGGGGCCGAGATCCTTCCTAGATCGGCCCTAATTTGTTGCCCGTGATTGATGATCATCCCTACTACAAGGACTAGCCGGACCTTAGGTTTGGCACTGAGAGTTTAAGACCGGCCCAGATTAGATAGGCGAAGTAGGTCCAACATGGCCCATCCTAGTTTAGTCCTTGTGAAAGAGAAAAGCCAATTGTTACCCTTTTCTTGTTATTCATGCCGTTAGGGTGTGGTTCATATTGGCCATTAACCAGTAGGCATAGGAAAGGTGTTGATTATAGTGGAATTATTTACTTGATGTAATCATAATTTAAGGGTGAATCGAGATAAATCTTGTGTCTCGATTTCTCTTTTTCGCCCTCACTCTCTATTTCGTTGTGTTTGTGCACATAATCCTAACACATGCAAGTTCAACTCCTAGCATTCGCTTTATGTTTTTCTTAATCACTGGAGAGTGGAAATATGGTTAAACTATTAAACGTGTGATTTTGCAGTAGAATGATCACTCACTTCAACTTGATGAGTCGAAAATTAGTCGACCCCTCATGCGAATTCAATGTCCTTGAAGAAAATGTGCCTCGCACGACTATTTCCAAGTCAAAAATAAGGCTTTTATCTCTTGGCACTAAACATTCGAGAAAATGTTCTTTTTTAAGGAAGATAATTACACAAATAACCCTGAACTTTGGCTCAATATGTAATGTAGTCCTTGAATTTTGAATTTGTTCAATGAGGTCACTAATATTTAACCTAATGTGCAATGTCACCCTTGAATTTTTAATTTATTTAATACGATCCCTGAACTTTTGATAAATGTTCAATCTAGTCCTTAGACTATATTAAAATATTTTTTCATTTATTCAAGTTCGGGGATAACATTGAGCATTTTCATATAGTTTAGGAACTAAATTAAATATGTATCAAAAGTTCTCAGAGATCAGATTAAACAAATTAAAAGTTCAAAAATAACATTGCATATTTGGCCAAAGTTTATAAACCATTTATGTCACTTTCCCTTTTTAAGGTAAGGGCTTTCGCTCCGCTCACATTTCGACCATGCAAGCAGAATTGGAATCCGGAGGCTCATGTGAGCGGTTCTTGGCTCACTTCCTTTGGCCCAGAAAGACTCGGCGATAGGCACTTAGATCGCTTAAGCGTCGGTAAACAAAAACCATCTCGACCGAAGCTTGGAGGGGCACCCGATTGATACGTAGGTTTCTGAGGGCTAGAACTGAGATAATGCGGAGAGAAATTACATTCGCAGTATTACAACATATTGTTTTAGGGTCATATTCCGGTGTTTTTACATGTATATTTTCACTCAGAAATCAAAAGCTTAGGCCAAGAGTCTAATCACTATTTTTTACTTAAGCCATGCTAAAGACACAATTATAGGTGTATAAAATTGATTTGACGGGCAATGTAGCCGAATATCTGAATTAATGATTTTTAATTAGAGATTTCGCATTACTTCATAATTGTTTAAATATCTCCGACACTATTCTTCCAACTCATTTACAAACCAAAATCGCAATATAATCCCAAGGGAGATTGAGGGTGCTTTTGGTTCGGCTTTTGGAGAAATTTTTCTAGAAAATGCAAAAACCTTTAAGTAAAAGAGTTATTGAAAATGCTAGTGTTTGGTAAATTATAATTTAAAAGTACATTGAAAATAACTTTAATTTAAATGATATTTGGAAAACTCACATTTTGTAAAGCACTTTTTCTTTTAAAAAAAACTCAAATTCGACGAAGGACTTAGCGGCTAAGCGAGCGGGCGACAAGACGCTGACGAGACTAAATTTGGCTGTCGGCGGCCTAACCTGGGTTTAAGTGACCTAGACAACCGCCTGAGGTCGAGGCTGGCAAGTGCTAGACTAGCTTGCCAACAACTAGATTTGGCCTCCTCGGAGGCCTGAACCCTCACCATTAACGTTGCGTGAGGTAGGGACATGTTCAGAATTATGAAAGTTTAGCAATGACAAAGTTGGAAGAATCGTAAAGCACTTTTTCTTTTTTTTTAAAAAAAAACTCAAAACTGACAAAGGACCTAGCGGCAGAGCGAGTGGGCAACGAGCCACCGGCGAGACTAAATCTGGCTACTGGCAACCTCACCTGGGTTCGAGCGACCCAAGCAACTGCCTGAGGTCATGTTCCTTAGGCTAGGCTGGCAAGTGCTAGACTGGCTTGCCAACAACTAGATCTGCCCTCATCAGAGACCTAAACCCACATTAGTGAGGTCGCTTGAGGTAGGGATATGTTCAGAATTATGAAAGTTTAGCGATTGCAAAGTTGGAAGAAAAAATATGTATATGCATTCCGAAAATACTCAAAGTTTAAAACACCTCTGGATAGACATGGCCACGGGCCGATTTTGGCCCGGAACCGGCCCGGGTCAAACCCGGGACCGGCCTATTGACCGGGCCCGTGGTTTGGAACCGGAACCGGCCCGTGGCCTACGGGCCCGATTCCAGTTCCAAAAAAAAAAAAACTACTGCTGCAGGCTCGCTGCAGCGATTCCTCCTCTCCAGAATCTTCCCCTCCTCCTCCGCTGCCGTAACCCATGGCCAACGCGCTCCCCCTGCAGACCAGCAACATCGCCAACACCGCCGTCGCACAGGCGGTGGCGGCGCGCAAGGGCAGGACCGTGGAGGAGACCTACCAGAAGAAGTCCCAGCTCGAGCACATCCTCCTCCGCCCCGACACCTACATCGGCTCCGTCGAGAAGCACACCCAATCGCTGTGGGTCTACGAGGGCGACGAGGTGGTCCACCGCCCCGTCGCCTACGTCCCCGACCTCTACAAGATCTTTGACGAGATCCTCGTCAACGCCGCCGACAACAAGCAGCGGGAGCCTGCAGCCCCACGTTCCAACCCCACCCACGCCCTCCTCCTCCAGGCTCCAGTCCTCCTCCAAATACCTCCTTCCCCCCTCTCCTCCCCTTTTCTCTTTCGCCCGCCCCCCGTCTTCTCAGATTTGACCCCCGCTGCCATCGCCGCCATCACCCCCGCCCATGGCCGCAACCGCCGACGCCCCCTCCTCCTCCTCCCTCGCTACCCTGCGCCTCCTCCCCTTTTCTCCTCCTCCCCCCTCGAACCGGAACTGGCTTGGAAATGCCGGTTCATATATGGCCACGAACCGGAACCGGCGGTTCCTAAACCATGGCCATGTCTACCTCTGGATTTGCCTTTAGAAATGCGATTGCATCTTCTCAAAGCTCTTCAAAAAAATTCGTCAAGCAGTATTCGCATTTGCCCAAGAGAATTTAAAGTGGGAATGTCGGATTGTATCTCGTCGACTGTTAGAAATCAAAGTCGCCCAATAATCAATCCACTTTCAAAACTATTATACAAAGAATAAATAATTGATCCCTATCCCATTTCAAGTGCAAAATCAAAATCAAAAACAAAAACAAAAATAGAGAGAGAATTCTACCAATTTTTTTTTCATGGGAACAAAAATTCAGTCAAATTTCGAACGAGTTGACCGCCCCGTCCAAGTCAAACTCGCCAATGCCTCCATCTTTCTTCCCTCGCTAGTCATGGCTCACGACGTCTGATGACGCTCCCGGCTCAACGAGTCGCTCAGGAACGTCTTCGCGGCGTCCAAGCTCGGGAAGTACGTCGGCTCCAGGAACATCTGGCTCAGCGAGTCGTCCCTCTCGAGGCTCATCGCCGCCCGGCTCGCCGTCGCCTCCAAGCTCCCCAGCGCCACCACGAGCACCTGCCTGTACGCGAAGAAGAACCTCTTCATCGCCACCTCGATCGCCTGCAACGCCTGCAGGAGGTGGATCTTCGCGTACTGGTCGCTCTTCTCGCCGCCGAACAGCCTCATCGCCGCCTCCTGCACTCGTGGCCCTCCCTGCGGATCCACCTCGACGCCGAGGATGTACGGCACCTTGTGCTTCAGGTCCCTGCACTTCCTCGTCATCGCGACGATCCCTGTCGAGCGGAAGCAGAACGCCGCCGTCTCGCTCCGGAGGTCCAGCTGGTTCTTTAGCCGGAGGAAATCCTCGGGGTCCATCAACAGGTGAAGGTCTTCGATCTCCATCATCAGCTTCCACGTCCTCTCGAGCAAGTAACAGTGGACCGCCGCCATCTCGAAGCTCTTGCTCTCGATCTGTTCCTCGATGCGATTCAAGAGCTCGTGCGATGTCTGAATCCACGACTCTAGGATCTGGTGCGACGTGTACAGGTTCTGACACTCGTGATTCTGGATCTGGTGATCGTACGGGTTCTTCTTGAGCGAGTGGAGCTCACCGGGCTTGCAAACGGCGTCGTACTCGAGGCTCGGCTTGCCCGTCAGGTTCGGTTCTCCCAGGCCCAGCGTGTACGGACACCGCCGCATCTCGCACTCGATGGTGTACAGGATCTTCTGCGCCACATCCTCCGACGTCTGCCACGTGAGCAGCCTGGGCAGCAGGCTGGTCTCGCTCGTGCGGCTCACCACCGTGGCCGCGGCCTCTCCCCCGGGGAGCCGCCAGACCTCCGCCGAGCTGCCGTCGCGAGCCAGCACGCCGAGACCCGAACTCAAGTCCGCGATCGGCGCGCCGCCGCGCGTTTCCGCCCCCTCTTCCTCGTTTTCGATGATGGCCGCCACGAGCCCGATCTGGGTCGCGGCCAGCGACTCGAGCCGCCGCTTCCACTCGCGCCGGTTCGCGTACGGCCTGGGGTCCGACAGGACGGTCGAGACGAAGCGGAAGGTGATCTCGAGCGCCTGCAGGGCGGGCCTGAGCAGGGGCTCGGACTTCCAATCGGGAAACTCCCTGCGTCCCCACAGCTTCCGCAGCTCGGGGAGCCGCAGGTAATACTCGTAAGCCGAGGAGGCCGAGTCCGAGGCGGCCGGCACGTCGTAGCCGCCGCGGAACGGCGTGGGGATGACCAGGTGGAGCTTGTTGGAGAGCCTGGGCGACTTCCGGGACATGTCGGAGGCGGTTGCGGTGGCTCCCTTTGCTTTCCAATCTAAATCAACCATCTTTCGCAGCATCAAACGATGGAACAAGAAACGAGACTCCTTCCTCTCTACTTTCTGGGTTTGGTTTAGGATTCGAACTTGAGGAGGAGGAGAAGAGAGAGAAGGGGGTATATATAGAGAGAGAGAGAGAGAGAGGGGGGGGGGGAGGGAAAGCACCAGAGGATGATGATCGCCGATGGAAAGATAGGCGTGTGGAATGGGGAAAACGAGTGGGAATGGCGAACGAGGAATTTTTCAGAAAGTCGTCCTTCTTTATTATTTTAAAGAATTGAAAATCGAAACAGCGGATATAGATAGAGAGAGACTTATCCACAAAAAACCTAACGGAGAAGAGGAAGGGGAGCGTCTGTGCGTATCTTGAAGGGGATGGAGCTGGGAAATTTCAGTGGGTTGGAACGTGGAATCGTTGAAGTTTGACCTCCTTTTGGTCTTTCTTTGTCCGTGGCAGAAGCTGTAGGTAGGGTCGTCGGTGCGCGACTCTCTGCGTGACAGCCCCGTGATGCTGCGCCACGTGGACTTTTGTAATCCGATGGGGGGCCCCATTTGGCCAGTGGGATATTCTAGTAGGGAGATGCCGACTCACGTAAGTAGTAGTGGGGACAAGAGCCAAGGAAAGTTTCGTCAGGACGAACGGGAGAATGGGATGTTACCCGCAAATTCAGGTCGTTTTAGGACAAATCGGAGTTTGGCTGTGAGGTGTTTTATTTGCCGATTTTACCTACTTTTGCTGCCTTCCATGTGCCCATTTGCGTGTGATTTGTCCATACTAACAGTAAAAAGACATGTGGGTATTCATGATCGTCACACAAGAAAGCAAAGGTGGGAGTGGATAATCTATTGCTGGTATAGTTAAGGAGCGGTAATTGTAAGCCGATCGGTGTCGCGACCTTAAAGTTGATTTAGAGGAAAACTCGATTAGGCGAGTCCAATCTACCGGGTGCTCTCGACCGTTTTAATATATCGGGTAAGATCACACGAAGCACGGCGATGAAAAGTGAATCTCTTTTCATCTCTCCTGCGTGTTCGTCTCGTCATTTACTTCCTCGTGCAAGCATATTTTCCATTTTTCGAAAGGTTTGTTGCCAAAAGGAGACTACCCGGTTGTAGGAATGATCACCAAAAGAAAATCATACCCCCTTCGTTATAATGAATTCACGTGAATTGGTACCCCGAAATTTCACGATCGGAATTCATGAAAAGGATGTGCAGTGATGCAACTCTCCTGGGTTGCTTCGTGGGTGTACAAATGTGAGGCATGCCTAATGCAATGAGCAACTTCATGATCATGGATTATATTGTCTGCCGCTTTCTCTTTTCTTTTCTTTTCTTGGGTTTTGCTGTTGAGGTCCACAATTGGTGCTCTCATCACTGTCGGATTGCACAAATTATGGTACTCGGAATTTTGTCGCTGCTTCCCGACAGCCTGCCTTGGAAATTTTGAACGTGATTCCCTGGCCGTCTTGTGGGGATATCGAAATCTGCAGTTCGTGATCGCGCCATGATGGCTGGAGGATTTTGAGGATAAAACGCCGTGATCTGTTCGCCTTTTCCTTTCCAGCGAAGTCAGACTTCAGCCGTAGAACACGAGAAGGGGAAAAAAGGAAGGAGGCAAAAGGGGTCCCGACAAGTTTTTAGAGCTGTTTATGTATTGGCTTTATTGGAAAATAAAGGTGACTACGCTCACAATCAACTACGAAAAGCCACTAGTGGTCGTTAATCATCTCTTTGTCTTGCTCAGAACTTTTCTCCGGCTGCGCTGCACCAGTGCTTCTGAAGATTCAAATTCGCCCCCCCACTAACAAATTTCGTTGTTATCTTCTAATGGAAATTTCGTGAAATTACTATCCACCTTTCAAAAGAAAACTTACATGAAAGGATAGTTCAATATTTAAAACATTTTGGCATTCCCCATCGTGTGTAAAATGGACCTTGCCCTCTTACTAAATGTGAAAATATATATTGAGGGAGGCAAAAGAGAAAAAAAAAATAAGGGGCTTGAAAATGAACCTATGGTCTTCTATTTCAATATAATGTAAAATTTCGTGGAACCAACATCAAATTGTTCAAAAAGTTTAAGCGAATAATTGAAAACGCGATTTAATATAAAACATTCTAATATTCTTTTTATCGGGTTGTTTTATAGATATCTCACAGAAGACTTTAAAAACATGGCGTCTTCCTTATCAAATGCAACGAATGTGCTGTGCTAGGACCTATATTGGACTTTTTTTTGCGGTAGGACCTATCAATTGGACTTGCACCACCGTATCATTAGCCAAGGCAAGCCAACCAATCCCCTATGTTCCTCACACCAGACACGAAGCTAATTGGCCCCATTAGAAATGGCTGGAGCTAGACGTTTTCCATCTCCTCCTTCTGTCCGAATCCACAAAAATCTCTGACCAAGACAACAAAAATCCACAAAAATCAAACCAAGATCGAGCCCCGTGGGTCCGACCCTATCTCGCTGTGGCTTATCCTCCAAAAAGAAAGGCATTGGTCGACGGGAAATTTCAAACCGAGTCGGGGGTCCACACCTCGTGCCGATGGATTCGCCCCGCCTTGAACATGTCAAACGGCCTACCTTGTTCCCCGAACCCTATTTGCTTTCTGGGTCTCCGAGTTTTCTTCTTCTTCTTTCTTCTAGTTTTGGGGGGGTCAAAGGGTCTCCGAGTTGAATATTCAAACTTAGCAACGGATTAACTCGATTTTAATTTATCCTCAGTCAGGTTCCGATGATGTTCCAACCTTGGTCCTAATCCCGCAAGTCCGTCGAAGGGCATCCACCGCAAGCGCTCTGAGAGATTGATTTTTTAGAAGCCGGCGTATCGGACGGTCCGACAGACTGTAAGTATCTGCTTAAAGAAGCGGGTTGTTGTTACTACTCTATTAGCATATTGTCATGTCGCTCGATAAAAAAACGACCTAAGAGAGCGTTTGATGCCAACTTTCCATGGTAGTAGCTTTGGCTATTAATACTGACGTTGCCGTTTTTGTAACCTATTAGGTAGGGGTGAACGGTTCTCGGTCTGATGGAATCGGTGACTCTAACATTCTCCTTCAAAACAAAAGTACAATACGAAATAGAAGAAATCTAGATTAGAGAAGCTCTATTATGCCAAAAAACAAACACCAACAATTGCAAAGCTTAACACCGTGGATGAAATGGTGAGATAAGAAAGTGGAGACTGAAGAATAGAGATTAGTCATATTAGGATTTACTTTTAGACTAATTATTTAAGAAATTTAAAAAAAAATGTAACTGATACAGTCCGGTCCGTCAGTCAGGTTCCCACCTTGGAACCTGAAACTGGATCGGTAGCCTCTAGAATCGCTCAGAACCGGCCGGTCCTGTCCGGTCTGGACAGTTCCCGTTATACACCCTTAATACTAGGCAAACACCTTAAGATACTAGAAATTTACGGTGATGTTCAAGGAGATGTATATCCGGTTTTAAGATATGCATTGCGAATTATATAAATTATAAACTTTGCAGCAAAATAATTTATAATTCAGTCACAGTTTCACGAATCAGCGTTTTCTCGCTTATATTTTGGTGGGAGGGGGCGATGGTGGACTTGGCCGCGGAAGGAGAAGAAGCTTCTCCGAGGTGGACTCGATCACCGCGTTTTACCGGTTCCGAAGTTGCACCGAGGCCAATCCGACCGCCACCGAGTGGGACACGTGTCGGCATGTGGCGGGTGGGCCCCCGGGTGGGGTGGGGCCAAGACTCGGCTCGGTGGCATCCACATCATCGTCGGCGGCGGCGGCTGCCCCTTTTCTTTTTCCCCCTTCAAGCCCAACGCCAGCTGGTCACGCGGCTGAGCACGTGACGTGCTCCTGATCCGGACATTCGTTTTAGTGCATATGATGCTGTCTGAAATCGTAAGTGGCGACGGATTGCGGGTGTTGCTTTATGATATGATCACATGGGGGAATGAATTTGATCGTTATGTGTAATTGATAAATCTATCGTACTTCTTCAAAATATTTTTAATCTTTTAGCTATAAGTCAATGATACGTTTTATCAATTGCGTGTGAGTAATAAGGGTGTACAATTGGACCAGATTTACCCGAGAACTTGATCGGATCACCCGAAAAATAGGTCTAGGAACCACTTCCTGTTCGAACCGGTTTGGGAACCGATTCCATTTTTTGGGAACCGATTGGAACGGGTTCGGTTTTTGATTCCAAGTGAAAACCCATCCGCACCGGTTTTGAAACCAGCTTTTAGCTTGTGTTAACAAATAAATTCATAGATCATACTATTATTCTATTTTGGATTGTTGCTTTTGATGGATAGTAATTTTTATTGCTCATATTAGGGATTATTGCTTTTGACGAATAGCGACTTTTATTATTCATCTTTTACTTTAAATCGTTTCATTGCTACTCATATTATTTTGTTGGAAAAAATGAAACCAGAAAAAAAAAAAACAAAACAAAAGAAAAACAGATTCTTGGGTAGATCCTAAAACCGAATCGGAAAAACAAAGTAGGTTCCAAAACAAGCTCCAGGACAAATAGGGTAGATTCCAAGTTCCAAAAACTGGGAACCGGTTATAATATGGTAGGTTTCAAGTTCCGAGTCTGGAACGTATTCACCCTGAAACCGATCACTCCTAGTGAGTAATGAGAAATTTGCAATGTCTTCGTGGCTAGGAAGGATTTTACGAGCATCGGTCCGACCTATTCGGTGATGGCATACGTTATGTAAGCCGGCCTATAGAAAATCGATACACGAGCGATGTGGATTTCGAGATCCTCTCTCACTTAAAAGTGGAATGCAGGGCAATTGAAGAATTGTCTTGCATGTGGCATGCAGATCGAACTTAACGTAGTTTGAGAGATCAATTGCCTCACGAGTGGAATGATAGAAGTGGGAAGTTAGATAGAGAGCCCACGAGGGGTGTGCTTGATCGATTGGAGTACAAAGTATGCAAAACTCGGTATTCTAATGTTGAAGGGGTTCGGGCCAGTATTTTTTTGGTAGTTTGGGTTTAGACCCATAAATAGTTATTGTGCTGCATATATATAATATATTTTTCTTATAACTGGGAATTGTAACAGAAAGGGTTAGAGGTGCTAATTACAGTAGAATTATTTATTGGATATAGCCCTAGTTCT